TATAATGTTATTTTACTTATCTGTGTGGCTATTTCCGTAATTTTGTCCCGATTAAGTGATGTTTTAACATCTGGGCCTAAATGTGAAATGAGAGCACGTGTGACAAGTGTACATCACATTTGTTTTATAGAGCTAGAGAGGGCGATTCTCACTAAGAGGCTGATTACATCTTATTTGTGCATCAGGTATGTCTTCTGTTATACGTTTATGTTTTATATGCATTTTATTGTGATTCTTCCTCTTTGCACTGGTGATGCAGTGAGAGAGCTAGAGAGGGCGATTCTCACTAAGAGGCTGATTACATCTTATTTGTGCATCAGAATAAACGATCGCTGAAACTGCTGAGTGAGTCCTGTCCTGTTCTTCCCACGTGAATGAAAAACACAACGCAGAAAAGAGACCAGTTACACAAGCTGTATAGACCATTTCACAAGATGTAAACAACACTGGTCCTTTCAGTTTGTAACTGTTTTCTTTATTTCACATGTAAAGAAAACATCTTAAAGGTGTTTGTTTAACTTTTTGATTCAGTTTTAAATGTTCTGTTGGTTGTATTTTATCCCAGCTTTTATGTAGTGTTAAAAAAACTGAAACAGGAAGTGCTTCTGGACCAGTGTTGTTTACATCTTGTGAAATGGTCTATAATTTCTACACGAAGTTCAGAGACTGTTTATACTTGTGTGCTACTGCTAATGCTAGGTTGGAGCCCGTTCATTACAAGTGAAGGACATTTTCTAGTTAAAGTTTGAGTGCCTCCGTTAAACATTTCGAGGGGCTTACCTGCAGTGTACGACCTGAAGACGGAGTTTGGGGCAACTTTCTCGTGAGGTTGCTGGAGGCGTGTGGAAGAGAAAGAAAACAACGGAGTTCGTGTTGAAATGTTGATCGGATGCTGAGCCTGTTCGGGTGATTACTGGGGTACAGACATACTGATTAACTCAATGTATATTTTATTTTGTTTGCTCGCTGCACGAGTGAGGAGGCCATTGAGTTTTGGGCCACTGACACAAGCACCGCATCGGAGGTGGGATAGTTTAGTTTATAATTATTTTGGTGACAGTTGTCGGGTCCTCCCCTTGAAAGGAAGTGTATCACCGGTCGCGGGAGCGCGCTCGCATTCAACAGAATTGCGTCTTTGCTTTGACCCATGTAAATGAAACTGTAACTCGTGAATTGTTTAAGTTATCGTTTTACTATTGTTGTTTTATCGACAAGGTTTAGCAAAGACAGCTATCGCGTGCACAGAGAAGTCCAAATTAAACATGATTTAATGACTCGTAAATTGATGTTACAAGAGGTAAAAACGATATAAATACTGTTCGTTTTCTCACACAAACTCGTTTCATGTCTTAGGCCATCAACGTGTACTTACATTATTATACAAATTTTCTGTCTTATAACTTTGCTTCCAAAATCCAAGTCAAAATTAATGTTATCAGTGTTCCTTCTGCGGTTGCCAATGCTTTCGACCAACACTTTTCCTTTATTTGTAGTTCACAGTTTTTTTTTTTTACCCTACTCTAGTCCAAAAGATAAGCTTTAACAGTTCCTTTTACAATTTCCAGAGTAACTTTCGGTAATTATAGTGTACCTATAGCCTAAAGTACTTGCATGTACATATAAGGGAACAATATGTAAAGTTGGGGAATAAAAGCGTAACAACCAGGAGAATTAAAAAAAACATATTTATACTGTAAGTATTATATAACTAAGGGGTACTTATTCTATTATTATGATCTGACATTTGGGAGCAATTTAGCGAGAACACACACTGCATTTTTTTGCAATAATTTATATGTACCAATTGTTTTATGTGCCCTGATTAATTCTTATTTAAAATCCTGTTACATAAATAAGAACTTCCATATTTCAGATGTTGTGTTAAAGTAATTAAATAAAGCCTTACTCTGTACAGCAAATATGTTCACATCATTTCATAGCAATTAAAGTAGTTTGAGTATTTAGTCACCTGTTTTTGATTTTTTCCAGATCTGGTCCTGTGGGCGTCAGTATCACACAGTGATCACAGTTCACACCTGCAGTGAAGCCCCTCCCACAACAATTCACCAATAAATACTGGGAATATTCCCATCATCCTACAAGAAAAGGACAAACTCCAGGAGTAGCAGCTGAAATCTGTGTGACTGTTAAAGATGGAGTTTATTAAAGAGGAGATTGAAGACATGAGTGATCCAGAACCATCCAGAGTAAAACATGAAGATACTGAGGAACAAACAGGTTGGTGTCCATTCTTGATTCTTCATTGTTGACTGCTTAGAAGGCAACAAAGCTTCAGTTTAACAGATCTTTACTTAGAAAAAAAAATGAGCAAAATAATTATAACGACAGAGAAAATACAACTCTACAATCATAATCTGTGTGACTGTATTAACAAGGCATTGACAAAACTAACCTTTGGGACGTTAAAGATCTGATACCCGATACTCATAAAAATACCTGATCTCTTGTTTTCTGCTATTAATCAGCGTTCGGTTGAATTTTCAAATGTACTCTTTATGAACTTCAACTGATCCTAAAATGTTTATTTTAGACCAGATGGGAGTGAAAGAGCAAAGACACAAACTAAATGAAGCTGAGGAGGAACATTGCAACATCAAAACTCAAAAAAAGAGTTTTCCATTAAACGAAACCTGTGAACGGCACCAGAAAACACATAATAAAGTGAGAGATCATGTGTGTCGTGACTGTGGGAAGAGATTTACTAGAACTGGACATCTGAAACAGCACCAGAGGATTCATACTGGAGAAAAACCTTACAAGTGCTCATACTGTGACAAGAGTTTCAATCAGTCTGGAGCCCTGAAAAGACACAAGCGAGTTCATACTGGAGAGAAGCCGTACGACTGCACTCAGTGTGGGAAAAGTTTCAAAACTAACACTGATCTCAAGTGTCATCTGCGCATTCACACTGGAGAAAATCCATATAACTGTGATCAGTGTGGTAAAGATTTTACTTTATCAACAAATCTAAAAAAACACAAGATGATTCACACAAACGAGAGGCCTTATGAATGTTCATTTTGTGGAGAGACTTTTTCACGACCGGATCATTGTAAACGACACCAGAAAACACACACCGGTGAGAAAGATCATGTGTGTTGTGACTGTGGGAAGAGCTTTACTAGATCTAGTTATCTGAAACAGCACCAAAGAATTCATACTGGAGAAAAACCTTACAAGTGCTCATACTGTGACAAGAGTTTCACTCAGTCTGCAAACCTGATAGCACACGAGCGAGTTCACACTGGAGAAAAACCCTTCAAGTGTTCATATTGTGAGAAGAGTTTCTCTCTGGCTGGATCCCTGAAATCACACGAGAGAGTTCACACTGGAGAGGAGCCGTACTACTGTACTGAGTGTGAAAAGGGTTTTAGACGATCAAATTGCCTTCTCAGGCACATGAGGAAATATCATAAATGGTCACAATGAGCAACAGTTCATTTTCTTGTCAAATAAGTATTCCAGTAAATGGTGAGATGAACATAAATATAGTTTTGCACTCAAAAGCACAATGTTGTGTATAGTTTAACTTCGTGAATTTGGTGAAATGCTTAGAAAAGAGTGGTGATTAAAGCTTTTTTTTTATAGTGTTAATAATTATTTGTATCTTTCCCACATGGTAATCGCAAAATCTGCTTGAATAAGACACATTCATATAATTGACTTATTTAACGATTTTTACTAGATGCTGTATAATGTTGAACAATTAAAAACATGAAAAATAAAGTTGATTGTTTTCTTGATTTAGAATCGGATTCGTTTTAAAAAGCTGCTGCAGTAAGTTGCAAGTATGTACAAATATTTACAAGAGGAACATGACAACATTCACTGGTGTGTAATTTGATTTGTATCATGAAAGTTCAATGACAAAACATGTATAATCTCTTGTTTGATTATATATTTAACTTACACACAGCTTTTATTTAAATATAAAAACACGTTTTATGGCTGGCATTTGTGATGAGGAATTATTTCAATTAGTTTAAATGAACACGGATCACCTGCTGTTTGGATAGTTAATATATTGTTAAATGCCAATCATAAGAGCTGTGAATATATGAAATAAATTGTTCAGCAGTTATCGTTCACATTTTGACTGTATCGAATGACAGAACTAGCCTTTTGCTCATGAAAGCAGAAATGTAATAAACAGATCTGTTATTAAATCATGGTTTGATTTTCACATTTATCCTCTTAAAACTGATTCTAACTTAATGTTTATCTCAAACCTGATGGATCAAAGGTGATGATTCGATTCTGTAGTTTGTTTCAGCCTGTTGACACCAATATAATGATTTAATGTGCCAATTTACAGAAGATCTCAGACATCACCATAACGAATGAGCTGAAAACAGGGAACTTTTGGAGACAAAGAGGTTTTTCAGCTGCTCAGTTTAACATGATGGCCCTGTACTTTTTAAATGCAGATTGGATAAAAACACAGTGATCACAGTTCACACCTGCAGTGAAGCCCCTCCCACAACAATTCACCAATAAATACTGGGAATATTCCCATCATCCTACAAGAGAAGGACAAACTCCAGGAGTAGCAGCTGAAATCTGTGTGACTGTTAAAGATGGAGTTTATTAAAGAGGAGATTGAAGACATGACTGATCCAGAACCATCCAGAATAAAACATGAAGATACTGAGGAACAAACAGGTTGGTGTCCATTCTTGATTCTTCATTGTTGACTATTGAGAAATGTTAAGGCAACAAAGCTTCAGTTTAACAGATCTTTACTTAGAAAAAAATGAGCAAAATAATTATAATGACAGAGAAAATACAACTCTACAATCATAATCTATTTGATTGTAAGGCATTGACAAAACTAACCTTTGGGACATTAAAGATCTGATACCCGATACTCATAAAAATACCTGATCTCTTGTTTTCTGCTATTAATCAGCGTTCGGTTGAATTTTCAAATTTACTCTTTATGAACTTCAACTGATCCTAAAATGTTTATTTTAGACCAGATGGGAGTGAAAGAGCAAAGACACAAACTAAATGAAGCTGAGGAGAAACGTTGCAACATTGAAACTCAAAAAGAGAGTTTTCCATTAAACGAAACCTGTGAACAGCACCAGAAAACACATAATAAAGTAAGAGATCATGTGTGTTGTTACTGTGGGAAGAGATTTGCGACAGCTGAACATCTGAAACTGCACCACAGGATTCATACTGGAGAAAAACCTTACAAGTGCTCATACTGTGACAAGAGATTCACTCAGTCTGGATCCCTGAAAAGACACAAGCGAGTTCATACTGGAGAGAAGCCGTGCGCCTGTACTCAGTGTGGGAAGAGTTTCAAAACTAACACTGATCTCAAGTATCATCTGCGCATTCACACTGGAGAAAGTCTATTTAACTGTGATCAGTGTGGTAAAGATTTTACTTCATCAGCAAATCTAAAAAAACACCAGAGTGTTCACACAAACGAGAGGCCTTATGAATGTTCATTTTGTGCAAAGACTTTTTCACGACTGGAACATTGTAACCAACACCAGAAAACACACACCGGTGAGAAAAATCATGTGTGTTGTGACTGTGGGAAGAGCTTTATTAGATCTAGTCATCTGAAACAGCACCAAAGAATTCATACTGGAGAAAGACCTTACAAGTGCTCATATTGTGAGAAGAGTTTCCCTCAGTCTGCAAACCTGAAATATCACGAGCGAATTCATACTGGAGAGAAGCCGTACTACTGTACTGAGTGTGAAAAGGGTTTTAGACAATCATCTGACTTTCTCAGGCACATGAGGAAATATCATAAATGGTCGCAATGTCATTTTCATGTCAAATAACAGTGTTGTAGTACTCGAGACTCGTCTCGGACTCGGTCTCGAGACCATATTTTAATGGTCTTGGTCTTGTCATGGACTCGTGTCCATTTGGACTCGGAATTGACTCGTACTCGAACATTTTTTTTTTAGGACTCGGAATTATTCCCGATTCCACTCGAGTTCAATTAAAAATATTTTTCATGATTATTATTGTTTGTTAATAAAATATTTCTTTAAATTGATTGACACGCCCAGTGATTGGTGATTTTCTAGTGTGCAACTGCGCATGACAAATTGTAATAAAATTACTTTTAACACCACCTACTATGTGGCCTTTTTACCCTAAACTGATCATATTTTTTAAACTCCAAGTAAATTCAGTAAAAAAAAAAAAAAAAAAGGATTTCTCTAAGTTAATAAAAGTAAATTAGGTAGGCTAATCAACCCTCTCTGGTCTCGGTCTCGACTCTGACTCGGCCGTCTCTGGTCTCGGACTCGACTCTCTATGGACTCGGTCTTGACTCGGACTCGACTCTCTCTGGTCTCGATGTCGACTCGGACTCGAGTGAGGTGGTCTCGACTACAACACTGTCAAATAAGTATTATAGTAAATGGTGTGAGATGAACAAAATATAGTGTTGCACCCAAAAGCGTGTCGTGTAGTTTAACTTTGTGAATTTGGTGAAATGCTTAGAAAAGAGTGGTGATTAACGCTTTTTTTTTTTACTGTGTTTAGAATTATTTGTATCTTTCCCACATGGTAATAACCACAAAATCTGCTTGAATAAGACATATTCATGTAATTGACTTATTTGACGATTTTTACTAGATGATGTAAAATGTTGAACAATTAAAAACATGAAAAATAAAGTTGATTGTTTTCTTGATTTAGAATCGGATTCGTTTTAAATGCCGTCAAAGCTGCTGCAGTAAGTTGCAAGTGTGTACAAATATTTACAAGAGGAACATGACAACATTCACTGGTGTGTAATTTGATTTGTATCATGAAAGTTCAATGACAAAACATGTATAAATCAGAATCACCAGATTCTCTTGTTTGATTATATATTTAACTTGCACACAACTTTTATTTAAATATAAAGACACGTTTTATGGCTGACATTTGTGATGAAGAATTATTTCAATTAGTTTAAATGAACACGGATCACCTGCTGTTTGGATAGTTAATATATTGTTAAATGCCAATCATAAGAGCTGTGAATATATGAAATAAATTGTTCAGCAGTTATTGTTCACATTTTGACTGTATCGAATGACAGAACTAACCTTTTGCTCATGAAAGCAGAAATGTAATAAACAGATCTGTTATGAAATCTAGGTTGAATTTTCACATTTATCCTCTTAAAACTGATTCTAACTTAATGTTTATCTCAAACCTGATGGATCAAAGGTGATGATTCGATTCTGTAGTTTGTTTCAGCCTGTTGACACCAATATAATGATTTAATGTGCCAATTTACAGAAGATCTCAGACATCACCATAATGAATGAGCTGAAAACAGGGAACTTTTGGAGACAAAGAGGTTTTTCAGCTGCTCAGTTTAACATGATGGCCCTGTACTTTTTAAATGCAGATTGGATAAAAACACAGTGATCACAGTTCACACCTGCAGTGAAGCCCCTCCCACAACAATTCACCAATAAATACTGGGAATATTCCCATCATCCTACAAGAGAAGGACAAACTCCAGGAGTAGCAGCTGAAATCTGTGTGACTGTTAAAGATGGAGTTTATTAAAGAGGAGATTGAAGACATGACTGATCCAGAACCATCCAGAATAAAACATGAAGATACCGAGGAACAAACAGGTTGGTGTCCATTCTTGATTCTTCATTGTTGATGCTTTGATAGATGTGAATTAATAAGCAGTATGTGGATGTTAAATAATGAATAAATACATCTGAATGATCATAACCTGTATATCAGTTGTCAAAAATATTTGAATTATTTTAACAAGTGAATGAAAGAACAACAAGTGGAAGATCTGATCTATGTTGCTTTCTGCTATTAATTTATTGATGGAGAAAAAAGTATGTCAAGTTGTTCCAAATCTGTATACATTTATTTTTTTCTGCTGAATTCAAAGATATTTGGAAGAAAGTTTGTTGCCAATAGATCTCACCCCCAATTGACTAACATAGTCATTTTTGTAATGGGTGGCGAGATCTACTTGGTTACAAACATTCTTCCAAATATATTTGAGTTCAGCAGAACAAAAGAAATGTATACAGGTTTGGAACAACTCGAGGGTGAGTAAATGACGACAGAATTTTAATTTTCAAGATGAACCATCCCATTAAATCAGGGTTCACTTGAACTGATTCTAACTGTATTTCTGTGTGTTTTAGACCAGGTGAGAGTGAAAGAGGAAAGACAAGAACTGAATGAAGTGAAGGAGGAACATCGTAACTTTACAATTCATAGAACAAAAGCCAAAAAGACGCACACCTGCACTCAGTGTGGAAAGAGATTCACACATAAAGGAAACTTTAACAAACACATGAGAATTCACACTGGAGAGAAACCGCATACATGCACTCAGTGTGAGAAGAGATTCAGTGATAAATCAGGTCTCCGTCAGCATCTGCTCATTCACTCTGGAGAAAAAACATTTAAGTGTGATCAGTGTGGTAAAGAGTTTAATGTCTCAACAAATCTAAAACGACACTTGAAAGTTCATTCAGGTGAGAAGCCTTATGTGTGTTCTCTCTGTGGAAAGAGTTTTTCTCGGCTGTTCTGTTTTAAACTGCACCAGAAAACACACAATGCAGTGAGAGATTATTTGTGCTTTGACTGTGGGAAGAGCTTCACTACATCTCATGATCTGAAACGGCACCAGAGGATTCATTCTGGAGAAAAACCTTACAAGTGCTCATACTGTGACAAGAGATTCACTTGGTCTGGAAATTGGAAAACACACGAGCGAGTTCACACTGGAGAGAAGCCGTACGCCTGTACTCAGTGTGGGAAGAGTTTCACAAACTCAACTCATCTAGTGACTCATATTAGAAAGCATTGTTCTGTGTCACAGTGAGCAAATGTTTTATGAGATTCACATAAAGTAAATGTTGTTAGTTGACTAATAAACAATGTTGCTGTGAAATGCCACAAGATTACTGTTTTATATTTTGAAGAACAAGCAAATGATTTAATTAGTTGATTGAACGCTTACTCAAAGAAATACCTAAATTAAGAATGAAATAACTTTTTCAATAAATGAAGCAATTTCTTCAATTTAAAGGGTTAGTTCATCCCAAAATTAAAATTCTGTCAGTAATCACTCACCCTCATGTTGTTCCAGCCCCGTAAGACTTTCGTTCATCTTCGGATCACAAATTAAGATATTTTTGTTTAAATCCGAGAGCTGGATCACTCCTCCATTGGGATCGAAACTGGCTGGCCCAAAAGTTATGAAAAACATTGTTAAAATAGTCCGAGTGACTACAGTGGCTCAATGTTAAGTTTATCAAGCGATGAGAATACTACCCCCCCCCCACCCCCCCAAAAAAAAAAAACCAAAACAAAACAAAACGAAAAAACACTTTATTCAACTATGTATTTCCTTCTCTATTGGCCTCGAGATTTCACATATTGAAACTGCGCAACGGTTCTGTGTTGTACGTCACATGCAGGCTCACTATTGGCCGACGCTGGTCATGTGTGTGATGTGTGTGACAAACAACCTAGAAGTTTTGCTCGTTTCACTACGTGAAATCTCAAGGCCAACCGAGAAGGAAATTAATAGTTTTAGGTCAGATAAATATTATTTAGTGTAAATAGTTGGAAGTGTGCAGTAGGTTTTATGGGTCTGTGGGTTCTGTGTCTGCCTACATATTGATAGGATAGCATCTCGCAGTTGATGGAGATTTGTGGGATGAACATCCAGGGCATGAAGCTCCCGTTCCACTACATCCCAAAGATGCTCTATTGGGTTGAGATCTGGTGACTGCCTTGGGTTGGCTTTAGGCTTGCTTAGTTTGAGACATTTAATATTCAACAATATTATTGATCTGTGTTGTATTTTGTTTCATGTTATCACTGTGAAGCTGCTTTGATTCAATCTGTATTGTAAAAAGCGCTATATAAATAAAGGTGACTTGACTTGACTGTGAGGGCCATTTTAGTACAGTCAACTCATTGTCATGTTCAAGAAACCAATTTGAAATGATTCGAGCTTTGTGATATGGTGCATTATCCTGCTGGAAGTAGCCATCAGAGGATGGGGACATGGTGGTTATACACGGTCAGAAACAATGCTCAGGTAGGTCATGGCATTTAAACGATGCCCAATTGGCACTAAAGGCGCTTTTCCACTGCATAGTACGGTACGGTTCGGCCCAGTACGCTTCGACTCGGCGCGGAACAGTTCGGCTCGCTTTGCGTTTCCACTGCAGTAGTACCCCTTCAAAGTGTGTGGGACTGATCGTTATTTGCGCGCGCCTCTACTGCCATGACATCATCTTAAAAGCGCCACATTTTCAAACCCACAACACGGGAACAATGGAGACTATCGAGGGGATGGTGTTCCTGATTCTCGGTATGTGGTTGTTTTTAACTGCTAGACGGAAAAATGTGTTTAAAATGAGGCTGATGGCAGTAAAACAAAAATACTGCTAAAAAAGTGTCGTGTCTCGTGTCGCAAATCCAATGACGCTAGTAGTGACGATTCTGTCTGACCAATCAGTGATCTGCAGTGTTTCACGTCACATTTTAGTACCGGTACGGTACGCTTGGAACCTCAACAGACTAGGTACCATTTAAAGCAACCTGAAGCGAACCGTACTGTACCGTACCATGCAGTGGAAAAGCACCACAAGTGAGCCGTACCGAACCGAACCGTACCGTATATGCAGTGGAAAAGCGCCATAAGGGGCCTAAAGTGTGCCAAGAAAACATCCCCCACACCATTACACCACCACCACCAGCCTGCACAGTGGGAACAAGGCATGATGGGTCCATGTTCTCATTCTGTTTACGCCAAACCATCTGAATGTCTCAACAGAAATCGAGACTCATCAGACCAGGCGACATTTATCCAGTCTTCAACTGTGAGCTCTTGCAAATTGTCGCCTCTTTGTCCTATTTGTAGTGGAGATGAGTGGTACCCGGTGGGGTCTTCTGCTGTCGTAGCCCATCCGCCTCAAGGTTGTGTGTGTTGTGTCTTCTTCACAAGTGCTTTGCTGCATACCTCGGTTGTAACGAGTGGTTATTTCAGTCAAAGTTGCTCTTCTATCAGCTTGAATCAGTCGGCCCATTCACCTCTGACCTCTCGCATCAACAAGGCATTTTCGCCCACAGGACTGCCATCGCATACTGGATGTTTTTCCCTTTTCACACCATTCTTTGTAAACCCTAGAAATGGTTGTGTGTGAAAATCCCAGTAACTGAGCAGATTGTGAAATCCTCAGACACCAACAACCATGCCACGCTCAAAATTGCTGAAATCACCTTTCTTTCCCATTCTGATATTCAGTTTGGAGTCCAGGAGATTGTCTTGACCAGGACCACACCCCTAAATGCATTGAATTTACATTTACATTAAAAGGAGGTTAAGTGTGTTGCTCAGGGACACATTGGTGTCTCACTATGGATTTGAACCCTGGTCTCTCGCACCAGAGGCATGTGTCTCATCCACTGCGCCATCACCACCCGGTGAAGGGGTGCCATGTGATTGGTTGATTAGAGAATTGCATTAATGAGAAATTGAACAGGTGTTCTTAATAATCCTTTAGGTGAGTGTATATTGTTAGGTACCAATCATAAGAGCTGTAAAAAAACAAGCAAATAATCCAGGAATATATTATATAAATGCATTCAGATCATAATCTTGTACAGCAGTTGTCATTCACATTATGATTATTAACAAGAGGATGACAAAACTAACTTTTGGTACATCAAAAATATCATATTTGATAGACAGATCTAACTTGTTTTCTATTTATTAAATCAGGGTTCACTTAAAGATTCACATTTATCCTCCTTGAGCTCATTCTAAACATTTAATATGTTTTAATCTTCCAGACCAAAGACAAGAGCAAAGACAAGAACCGAAGATAAAGGTGATGATTCTGTAGTTTGTTTCAACCAATACAACGATCTTAATGTGCCAATTTACAGAATTTCTCTGACATCACCATAATGAATGAGCTGAAAACAGAGAACTTTTGGAGGTCAGCTTCAGCAGCTAATGGTGACTCTGTACTTTTTAAATGCAGATTGGATAAAAACACAGTGATCACAGTTCACACCTGCAGTGAAGCCCCTCCCACAACAATTCACCAATAAACACTGGGAATATTCCCATCATCCTACAAGAGAAGGACAAACTCCAGGAGTAGCAGCTGAAATCTGTGTGACTGTTAAAGATGGAGTTTATTAAAGAGGAGATTGAAGACATGACTGATCCAGAACCATCCAGAATAAAACATGAAGATACTGAGGAACAAACAGGTTGGTGTCCATTTTTGATTCTTCATTGTTGATGCTTTGGTAGATGTGAATTAATAGGATTGACAGAGAAATACATCCAAATGATCATAACCTGTATAGCAGTTGTCAACAAGTGAATGACAGAACAACAATCGGGAGATCTGATCTCTGTTGCTTTCTGCTATTAACCCCTTAAGTGTCACCGTAAAACAGTAATATCCTATACCAGGGGTTTCTCAGTTCCTGGAGGGCCACAGTCCTACAGAGTTTAGTTCCAACCCTGCTTCAACACACACACACACACACACACACACACACACACACACTTGCAGTTTTCAAATGAGCCTGAAGGACTTGATTAGCTGATCAGGTGTGCCTAATTAGGGTTGAAGCTAAACTCTGCAGGGTTGTGGCCATTGACAAACTATATATAATTTGAAAGCATACAATATTTGGTGATTGATTGACAGAAGAGCTGTAAACTATCAATTTTCAAAAATAATATCCATACTCCTAAACCATATTGAGACCCTTATTTTGAAATAGTGATGGACATGAAAATTATTGAACAATGGTAGAACCTCAGTTCTGTTTTCATGCCAAGAGTTCAAAACATAGATAACATCCATTCAATTATTTAAAAAAAAGGTCTGAAAATGTTTTATGTATGAAGAAAAAAAAGTGTGATGTGGCAGGGGAGCTATAAAGCACATGTGTGCTATTTTTATGTGATTATTAGAGGTTGAATTCATATCAACATATGCCAAACTTTTCTTACTACTTCTGAATGGGATGCCAACTTCATAAATTGTATAAAAATTGTGGAAATAATGGTTCAGATCACTCAAAACACAAATGGAAATGGAGACGCACTGATGTGGGCAGTAATGCAGTCTGGTTGTTGTCATCTAGTGAAAAAGTTTGGTACTGCGCCCAAATAAAGTCTTAGAAACACAACTTGTTCAGAGTTTTTGCTTTGATTTTCTTTCAGTTTTAGAGTCCACCAGGTTTTGAAAAAATTATTTTTTAGAATTATATTTTTTTTCTGTTTCACTTTCTTAAGATTTCCATTACACGAGAGTAGATGTTAAAACTTCATGCTGATTTGTACTCTGCTTTCACCAAGATAAGCACAAACTAAGATGTAGCTTTACAGTAACCTATGCTTCTCCACCCTTTTACGCTTCTTTCCATATGGTGATCAATTCTGTCCGGCGTTAACGTCTGCAGTGTACTTGGCGCGTCAGCACACACGACGGCTGCATTTACAATCTGGTCTCCCCAGTGGACCAGCACGACAACCGTCTGGATTGAGCTGAGTAGGGGACATCTCTAGGGTCAAAATGAATAATACAGAGGAGTGTGAACTCACAAGTATGATGTCAGGCACTGTAATTTGCTCTGCCCCCCTTCCTGTTCACAGGAGTGATGAGATAGTTAGTATACTGCCCTCACTTTATCGTTGGTTGTGGATATAGAATTCATAGATAATTGGAAAAGTTTGCGCTTGAAGAAGATTAAAGAAAATAGTCCAACGTCGTGGTACAACAAGCACTTTCGGGCTCTTGAGAGAATAACCAGAAATATGGAGCGCAAATGGAAGAAAACAAAACTAGAGGTATTTCGGGTTTCATGGAAAGAGAGCGCGATTGCATACAGAGAGGCTTTAAAAGCTGCTAGCTCTGCATATTTTTATTTGCATATTTACTATTGGAAAAAAATAAACATAATCCTAGGTATTTATTTGAAACAGCGGCTAAACTAACGAAAAAGAAAGCTTCAAGCCCAGAAGTGTCCAAGCAACACAGCAGTAATGACTTTATGAATGTCTTCACTTATAAGATTGATAATATCAGGGAAAAAACTTTAACTATGCAACCGTCTATGACAGTATTGAATCAGGGAATGCATCGTAGGCTCCCTAAGGAAAAATGTTATTCATTTGTTGCTATAGGACAGGAAGAATTGTGCAAAACTTGTATGTCAGACCCTATTCTGACTATTCTGATCATCCAAATATCTTCTTTAAAACAAGATTAGTAATACATCTATATTCCAAAGCATTCTTGAATTACAACCATTTAAATTCAGGACATGTGCATTTTCATGTTTATTCAAAAAAGGGGGCGCGACACTTAAGAGGTGATGGAGAAAAATTATGTCAAGTTGTTCCAAAACCTGTATACATTTCTTTTGTTCTGCTGAAGATATTTGGAAGAATGTTTTTTTTTAACCAAGTAGATCTAGCCCCAATTTTAAATGAAGTAATAAGTCAATTTTTTTTTATCTTACAATGGTAGTCAATGGGTGGCGAGATCTACTTGGTTACCAACATTCTTCCAAATATCTTTGAGGACAGCAGAACAAAAGCGAAACAAAAATCATCCATGTTTGGAACAACTTGAGGGTGAGTAAATAATGACAGCATTTTCACTAATCAGGGTTCACTTGAACTGATTCTAACTGTATTTCTGTGTGTTTTAGACCAGGCGAGAGTGAAAGAGCAAAGACAAGAACTGAATGAAGTGGAGGAGGAACATCGTAACTTTACAATTCAAAGAAAAAAAGCCCGAAAGACACACACCTGCACTCAGTGTGGAAAGAGTTTCACACAGAAAGGACACCTTGAGAGACACATGAGGATTCACACTGGAGAGAAACCGTATACATGCACTCAGTGTGAGAAGAGTTTCTCACATAAAGGAAGCCTTGACACACACATGAGAACTCACACTGGACAGAAACCGTACACATGCACTCAGTGTGGAAAGAGTTTCACACAGAAAGGACACCTTGATACACACATGAGAATTCACACAGGAGAAAAACCGTATACATGCACTCAGTGTGGAAAGAGTTTCAGAGATACATCAGGTCTCCGTCATCATCTGTTCATTCACTCTGGAGAAAAAACATTTAACTGTGATCAGTGTGGTAAAGACTTTATTTCGTCATCACATCTAAAATAACACCTAAAAGTTCATTCAGATGAGAAGCCTCATGTGTGCTCTCTCTGTGGAAAGAGTTTTTCACGTCTTTCCAGTTTTAAACTGCACCAGAAAACGCACAATGAAGTGAGAGATTATATGTGCTTTGACTGTGAGAAGAGCTTTACTACATCTAGTCAGCTGAAACTGCACCAAAGAATTCATACTGGAGAAAAACCTTTCAAGTGCTCATATTGTGACAAGAGTTTCACTCTGGCTGGATCCCTGAAAATACACGAGCGAGTTCACACTGGAGAGAAGCCGTACGCCTGCACTCAGTGTGAGAAGAGCTTCAAACATTCAAGTAGTCTAGCGAATCATGTTAGAAAGCATTCTTCTGTGTCACAGTGAGCAAATGAGATTCACATGACTAATAAACAGTGTTGCTGTGAATACCACAAGATTTGTGTTTTATATGTGAGAGAACAAAAAAAATGTATTTAATTATTTGAACGCTAATCAAAATAAATACCTAAATTAAAAGAGACTGGAAGCAAATGTAAGAAGGAAACAACAATTACAAGCAGTTATTTTTCAATAGCCTATATGAAGCAATTTAATATGGCTTTTTTCTCTTTTGTTACTTAAAACCGGTCATTTCATAAACAGGTTTATTTTTACAGGATTTTTCGCCACCAGGGGTCGCTAACCTCTTACAATTACAAAGGCGTATTATACTGAGGATGTATCTTCCACATTAAACTGAATTATGGATCTTGTCGTCAAGCTGATGGATCTTTTATGGATGAGTGAATACATTGATGTTTTTTAACATGACTGTGGTGTGAAGCAGAGCGCGGACATGCAACACTCGCGTCTCTGTCAGGTCGAAGATAGTCGTGGACGTGGAGCTCTCGGCATCTCCAGATGTTGATCTTCGTTTTTGCCCTCTTTTTGTCTCAAAGTCTGCTTACCATGGTCCATGTATGAACAAAATAACAACAGCGTGCACAACCCAGTTGTAAACGTCTGTCGCCATGGTTACTATCATAGTGTGAACACAAACCTGGCTTCACCACTTAAAGTCCCTGTAAAGTCAAAATTAAGTATGTGTTCTGAGTACAAGCAAGGAAGAGGCTTAGAGGTGGGCCACACAAATTTTGCTATCTAGAGACTCAATAGTAGCCTAGACCTCTTGTTTAACTATTTCGCGCTCTGTTACCGGTAGGCGTGGCCTCCTAGGGCAGCGAAGCAAGTGCATTCTGGGAGTTAGTGTCTTTCATCCACAAGAAAAACATTTTCTGGCTTTTCTTCAAAGCTCCAAATTCAAAAATAATTTCACATTTCTTCTACATAAATGACCCATTTTAAATACACAGTATTCTTTCCAGAGGTGAAGTATCCCTTGACCATTGGCTAGAAACATTAGCTATAGAGAGGAGTCTACTATATTAGATTTTTAGACCTCTTTCATTAAAATATTATCAAGTCATCATTATAATACAAAACGCATTATATGTATTTGGGTTGTTATTTTCAACCTTTAATAATAATATTGGCAGCTGGGCTCTCAGCATGTTTACAGCATTTGAGATTTGTTTTCTTTTTTTACATTTATTATTTGTTGTCAAATATTATGTTTAGTTTTTCTACTTCATCAAATTTCGTACTTTATGTCCGAGGCACTCTGGAAATCGCGCACAGCAGCTTTTGTGAACAATAAGCCCCGCCTACTTAGATTTGATAGGTCATCTCAACCACGTTGACAGTGACGAGCGCAGTTAGACTGGCGGTCTGGCGCCCAGATGACAAGGACGGTTTTCCTGGCGTTGTAAAATTTTCTTGCAGAAGCAGAACCAAAGTACAGTTAAGATCTGGCAATTATTTCACGACCTATTACTCTTATATACAAAAAAAGAAAAAGAAAAAAAAAAAAGAAAAGAAATTTAGAGGACCTCATTGATTATACAGCCCTAGAAGAAAATATATCTTGTGACGTCAGTTTCTTGTCTGTCTTTCTCCGTTTATGACTGACGGCACTGCGCATGCGCCTAATGTTTGGACTGTACGTAATACACATATAAACTAATATGCGCATTGAATTGCAAAGTTTAGGTTCATATAAACAGAGCTTCCAGAATCTAGAATCGGTTTAGATTCAGTTACACAAAAATGGGTGCATGTAAACGTCCAATAGGTGGCAGTAATACACTAAAAAGGTTTCTAGTTTGCCATGTAAATCCAAAAGAACAAATAAGAGTATGCACAGAAGAGAGACACCAGCGCTGAAAGTTTAAAGAACAGTAATATTTGTTAATTTTAATCCAAACTGCTTTAACGACCGTGTAAGAGTTTGAATGAAAGACCGTTGTGGAGTATTTTCTCTGGATGCTGGATATTTTCAGTCAGTGTTGTTGCCACGCGTGTAAGATTACATGAACCAGCTTGGTATATGAGGTATTTAACTACATATTAACATTATTATGTGCTCAAGTTTAGTGTTAATATCTAATAAACACGAATTCTTTTTAGTTTCCAATGTAAGAATTGATGTTATTAACAATATTAATAACGGTCGTAGCGCTATACTCTAATCTAGAGCTGAATTAGTCTTCAATTTGATTAGTATATATTGTATACAATTGTATATACACACACGAGAAAGAAATATTTGCATATACTGAATATATATCTAACAAAATTTATATTATATATATAGATATGAAGAAAAAAAAAAGATTGTCACAAATATAGGCCAAAAAGCCCACATTGTCCTGAGGCCACAAATAAAGTGCAAGAGTGCAAAACATTTTTGGGTCAACCCTTCATCGATGTCATGTGTTACCAAGTATACATCTGCAGTCATTTAAACACTTATTACCATAATCCATGTTAAATACTGGAATCTGATTTTATCCCATAAACAAATATTTGCAATAGTCTACAATAGCCTCATGTACATATCACAACAATCCTTTATTCCAAAAAAAATCTGTTAACATTTTTTTTAATCTGACCATAAAAATGACAATAAATATACTCATTCCCATTATTGAATATCACAAAAGATTACCCCTATATGTCACATGATTAGACATTGCAATGCATAATGAAACAACATTTATAGAAAACAATTAAGAATATATTCCTCATTCATGCCCAAAGGATATTCATGTACATCCCCCCTCTGCAATAGACTCCGGTCCAAATCACCACCCCTACACGATTGTGTTACATGTTCTATAACAACGAAATGTAATCTCAAAATCGAATGGACATCTCATTAAAATTACACACAACTGGAGATTTTTGGTCTTTTCTTCTGATAGCACTCTTACGTTCAATGATATGTGTCTACATTGGTAGAAGTGCATGTATCAAATTGTTTAATCTTATGTACGGTTTGTTGTGCTTCTGAAAAAGGAAGACGGTTTTGAAGAAAATGTTTTCACATCACAACACATACTTAAGTAATACAGTCTATATATGTGTGTGTGTGTTTTCACATTATTTTTCACATAATATCATTCTAACAACTTAATGTTTTAATATGTTTCAGATCAAGAAAGAGTGAAGACAAGAACTGAAGTGAAATTTCAAAGGTGATGATGCTGTAGTTTGTTTCAGCCTGTTTATACCAATAACATTAGCTTAATGTTCCAGTTTACAGAAGATCACCATTCTGAATGAGCTGAAAACAGGGAACTTTTAAGTTGCTCAGTTTAACATGATGGCCCTGTACTTTTTAGATTGGATATAATCACAGTTCACAGAATATTCCCATCATCCTACAAGAGAAGGACAAACTCCAAGAGTAGCAGCTGAAATCTGTGTGACTGTTAAAGATGGAGTTTATAAAAGAGGAGATTGAAGACATGACTGATCCAGAACCATCCAGAATAAAACATGAAGATACTGAGGAACAAACAGGTTGGTGTCAATTCGTGTTTCTTTATTGTTGATGCTTTAGTAGATGTGAATTAATAAGCATATGGATGTTAGAGAAATGCATCTAAATGATCATAACCTTGTATATAGCAGTTGTCAAACATATTTTAACTACACTGAACAAAATAAAAAATGCAACACTTGTTCTTTCCCCCATTTTTCATGAGCTGAACTCAAAGATCTTAGACTTTTTCTATGTACACAAAAGGCCAATTTCTGCAATTCCGCAGCGTGCAATTGGCATGTTGACTGCAGGAATGTCCACCAGAGCTGTTGCCTTTAAATTGAATGTTCATTTCTCTACCATAAGCATCGGTACCAAAGGCATTTCAGAGAATTTGGCAGTACATCCAACCGGCCTCACAACTGAAGACCAACACCAGCCCAGGACCATCACATCCCGCATCTTCAATCGGTTTGCATAACCAAATAATTTCTGCACAAACTGTCTGAAACCGTCTCAGGGAAGCTAATCTGCGTGCTCGTCATCCTCATCGGGGTCTCGACCTGACTGCAGTTCGTCAATGTAACGGACTTGAGTGGGCAAATACTAACCTTCAATGATAGGGTTATAGACCACGGACACAGGTGCATTTTATTGATGGCATTTTGAATGCACAGAGATACCGTGACGAGATCCTGAGGCCCATTGTTGATCCATTCATCCACGAACATCACCACATTTTGCAGCATGATATTGCACGGCCCCATGTTGCAAGGATCTGTACACAATTTCTGGAAGCTGAAAACATCTCAGATCTTGCATGGCCAGCATACTCTCAGGACATGTCATCCATTGAGCATGTTTGGGATGCTCTGGATCAGTGTATATATATACAACAGCTATTTCAGGTCCTGCCAATATCCAGAAACTTCGCACAGCCATTGAAGAGGACTGGATCACCATTCCACAGGCCACAATCAACAACCTGATACACTCTATGCGAAGGAGATGTGTTGCACTGCATGAGGCAAATGGTGGTCCCACCAGATACTCGCTGGTTTTTGGACCCGCCCAATACAGTAAAACTGGACATTTTAGAGTGGCCTTTTAGTGTGGGCAGCCTAAGGCACACCTGTGAGGTGGATGGATTATCTCGGCAAAGGAGAAGTGCTCACTAACACAGATTTAGACGGATTTGTGAACAATATTTGAGAGAAATATCTTTTGTGTACATAGAAAAGGTCTTAGATCTTTGAGTTCAGCTCATGGAAATCTGAAACCTGATCTCTGTTGCTTTCTGCTATTAAATAAGGGTGATTCTAACTTGATTTCTGTGTATTTTAGACCAGGTGAGAATGAAAGAGCAAATACAAGAACTGAATGAAGTGGAGGAGGAACAATGTTTCTTTAAAACTCAAAGAGCAAAAGCTGAAAATCTGCACACCTGCACTCAGTGTGGAAAGAGTTTCACACAGAAAGGAAACCTTAAAACACACTTAAAAATTCACAATGGGGAGAAACAGTTTTCATGCACTCAGTGTGGAAAGAGTTTCAGACAAAAAGGAAACCTTAAGACTCACTTAAGAATTCACACTGGAGAGAAACCGTATGCATGCACTCAGTGTGAAAAGAGTTTCACACAAAAAGGAGACCTCAATATACACATGAGAATTCACACTGGAGAGAGACCTTATAGATGCACTCAATGCGGAAAGAGTTTCACACAGAAAGGAGACCTTAATATACACATGAGAATTCACACTGGAGAGAAACCGTATACATGCACTCAGTGTGGAAAGAGTTACAAATATTTATCTGATCTCAGAATTCATCTTCGCATTCACTCGGGAGAAAAGCCATTTATCTGTGATCAGTGTGGAAAAGTGTTTATTTCATCATCACATCTAAATAAACACCTGAATGTTCATTCAGAAGAGAGGCCTTATGTGTGTTCTCTCTGTGGAAAGAGTTTTTCAAGGCTGGAAGGATTTAAACATCACCAGAAAACACACAATCAAGTGAGAGATCATGTGTGTTGTGACTGTGGGAAGGGATTTACTACATCTAGTCATCTGAAACAGCATCGAAGAACTCATACTGGAGAAAGACCTTACAAGTGCTCATACTGTGACCAGAGTTTCACTCAGTCTGGACACCTGAAATCACACAAGCGAGTTCATACTTGAGAAAAGCCGTACGACTGTACTAAAGTGAGAAGAGTTTTGCCCTAATGCATCATTTTCCTGTCCTTTTAATCAAGCCTGTTAGCTTGATGCATACCTCCAGTATTTGTCTACTATTAAGTTTTAATTCTTTTTCAAACGTGATCTGCTGCAGCTTGTTTTCAGTCTTTCTATATTTATTTGATCAATTTTTTATTTATTTTTTTTATCCTTATAATTCAATTAATTTGAAATAAAAACTTAATTAATTATATATTGTAGATGTTTTTTTTTTTTTTGAGTATAACTAAACAACACGTCTGTGTAAATTTGTTTTGCTCATGGGACCATCACAGAGAGCCTCAAAATCACTCCAGAACATTCTCATTCACGTTATCATGCTGGTGAAATGATCTGCCCACCCTCATCTGGAATGCAGAATCCGTCGCAGCTTTCAAAAGACAACTAATTATAAATAAAAATTAAAAATAATTAAAAATAAAATAAAAATTATTTCCCTTTCCTTTAAAGGGTAACTAAACCCCTGGTCAGAGCCTGACTCCACCCACTAGCAATATTTGAAAAATGCTGAAAAAATGGGCAGACCCCAGCGGGGCTAGGGGGCGTGCACCTGAGACCCGCCGTGAGTGACAGCTGCTGTCAGACTCTAAAATAGAGCGAGACTAGTCTGGAGTGACTCAATAGCTGCCTTTGCAACAGAGCGGCCATTTGAAGTCGAGGACTTTTCTCCCTCACCTTCACCTTCACCTGAAGTGGATGAGGGTGAATTGTATGTATACACAGGGCCAAATCCATTCGAGCTGCTGGCTCAAACTGCGGTCTTAACTCCCGCATCGCGACCGGCATCTGATGACTTATGTCGTCGAGTTGATCTCAATAGCGCACGCTATTGATATTATGCCGCTATATGAAAAAATCCAGCAAAATGCACCGGCTCGTTTGTCGACCCTAGAGGATTAACTTTATCCTAACCATAAATTGTGATTAAAATATCCATGATCACTCACATCAAGACGCCGCTGCGGTGGAGGAGTCCATGCAGGACGAGCAGTGTTTGGCACTGCGTGTGGAGAAGCCCATGTCCACCTCTATTCCGTTACTATCCTGATCACTGTACTAAACACTGATAAATCTATGCTAACTTGAAGCTATCCTAACTGTACTATGCTACTAGCTACACAAAATAATCTAAATTATCTATATAATGCTATGCTAAATAGATGCAACAATACTCTATCCTGGTCGTTTTCAAAAAATAATCTAAATAACTATATAAATGCTATGCTAACTAGATGCTATTATATGCTATAGTATCCTGATCGTTTTCAATATTCATAAATCCAACTCCTGACTCCTACAGTAGTTTTGACGGAACCAGATGCTTTTATACCAGGGGCTGCCAAGGGCGTGGTGAGCTCGCACCAAGGGTGTGACAGAGTGCGTCTGAGAGTTCGCTACGTCAGCAAGTACCCCTACTGCAGGAGCTTTCCGTTTAACCTGAAGAGGGCAGCACTCAGACGTTTTTACACCATATATTTGAAAATCAAAACACTTTATACTCAATTGTCAAAAAATGTACTCGAATCAATGAACAGCATTTATGAAGCTCCATTCTTACAGATCATTAACTAAAAAAAGTTGTTTTGGTGTTTAGTTACCCTTTAAATACTCGCTTATCTGGCTTATGCTACTCTGAGCAACCTTTGTATTTTGAGCACTTCTTGCATTGTTTTTGGCTTTTCACAATGACTCGCTTGGTTTAGTCCTCAGTTCAGTCGCTTTGGATAAAAGTGTCTGCTAAATGACTTAATGTTTTAACAAAATTTGTGTTAATTATTTTTATTTACATTAATCATGGTTGTCAACTTGCCATGAGCGATTATCATTAAAAACAATGCAAATATTGATATTAGTAAAACTCAATGTGTGCCTTCACTTTTTAAAGTACACTTTTACACATACCCTTATTTAAGGTTTTATTTAGTTATAATGAACAAAAAAATCGAATGAAATTTGTTATCCGATTAATTTAAACTTTCTCTATTTCTTTTTCTCAGTCTCCTTATTTGCCCTGTAGCTTTGATTGATAGCCTACTGTCTTTTTTATGTCAGTGAAGAAGTTAAACAAAACAGCTATTTGTTTCATGAATCATTCATTAAGACAAGGCACACAATATGTGCACAATCATTGTTAATCTTATGCCTAATATGATGAAAAGCTTTGTTTATGTTTCTTGTCTTGTCACATTGACAGTTAGGAATTACGTAGGCTAACGTAATGAATCACGAATGAATTTATTATTTTTCACCCATGATTACTCCGGTCTTTTAACATTTGTTGTTAAATATAAATGTTTAGTTTATCTACTCTCGAAGGTTAACCGTTAACTTATATATATTAAACGTCTCTCCCTCTGGAATCGCACTCAGCAGAACATAAATCCCCGCCTACTTTGATTTGATTGGTCATCTCAACCGTGTTGACAGTGACGAGCGGTGTTAGACTGAAGAGCTCAGATGAAAAGGACGGTTATACTGGCTTTTACAAGATCCGTGCAGAACCAACTATTTTACAATGTTTATTATATAGTTCTATTATATACATAAAAATGTCGAGGTCTGGACCTCATTGGTGAGTATACAACCCTAGAAGAGCTAAAAATCTCGTGTGACGTCAGTTTTTTGTCTCTTTCTCTGGTTTTCAAACGAGGCGACTGACGCACTGCGCATGCGCATAATGTTTGCTTGGATTCAGCCTGCACGTAGGCTAATACAAATAATATGCGCATTGAATTGCAAAGTTTAGGGCTCTTATAAACTGAGCTTTCACATTTCCTATTTGTTAAGTTTAGTCTGAGATGCTTAACGGTCGTGTAATAGTTTGAATGAACTACATTTGTGGAGTATTTTCGCTGGATATTTGCAGTCAGTATGTTGTTGCCACGCGTGAAAGATGACATGAACCAGCTTGGTATATGAGGTATTTAACTACTTATTAACACATTATGTGCTCAGGTTTAGCGTAAATATGTAATAAACACGAAATATTCTTCGTTTCTAATGTAAGAATTGATGTTTACATTGATTAACAATATTTAAAGTGCCCCATAATGTAGCGCTACATAAGGCTAACGTTAGTGCTCTAACGTTAATCTAGAGCTGAATTTAGTCTTTATTTTTTGCATATGCACATACAGATTGCTGGCTAGTAGTTGATTACTGGAATCTGGATAACGTCATAGTCATAGTATTTGAGTAACGTTAGAGTTTTCTCAGCATTTATTATTAAACACACATTAGCCTTCTTATTTGAATTAGCTATATCACCCAGTCAGTCATTTGACCATATATTACTGTTTCTGGAAGGCTTTTGTCTCTCAAACACATTAAAATACACAAATCACATAATTTTATTTGTATGCAATGCAGGGATTCCCCATTTTTTTCATAGGGATTTTTTTTTCTTTGTCTTAAAATATTTAGTTGAAGATTACCCTGAGATTTCAAGCAAACATGTTAGGTCAACAGTAAAAATAAGTCAATGATAATAATAATAATTATACTAGATAAATTAAATTAAGTTAATGGTACAATATGTAAAATATTTGTAATAAAATATCTAAAACTCACTTGCCCAGTGTCATATATTTCCTGCAGTTGTGTACTTACAATATCCCAAAAGTCCCCAAAAATGTTTAATTTCAGATAAATTTCTATTTTAAGTAATGGCTCGTCCATGTTCACTTGTCACTTGTCAATGACGTAACATCTGCGTTATCCCTGGTTTCTGCTCGTACTGCTATAGTAACCATGGTGACAGACGTGGACAACTTACATCTAGCGGGCACGCTCACACTGTTTTTGTTTCGACACAAAAACATTTTGTATAACTTTCAACACAATTCTCAAATGCAGTTTAGTATGATGTGAAGACCAAGTGAAACAGCGCTGCATTCCTCACAAGTTTAATTCGTCTAATAAACAAATAGCACTTCCAGTGCTTGCGAAGACCGACGTGCCCGCACCCTCATATCACTTGACTGTGGGTTACCAGAGGTAAAAACGATATAAATACGGTTCGTTTTCTAACACAAACCGCTTGTTTCGTGTCTTAGGCCATCAGCGTGTACTTACATTTACGAGTCATTAAATCATGTTTCGTTTGGACTTCTCTGTGCATGCTCTTTGAGGTGGACCCCATAGACCTCCATTATATGACTAACAGACAAGAACGGTTTGACCTAAAATTATCAAAATTGAAACTACTGCGGAAACAAAGACACCTACATCTTGGATGCTCTCGAGGTAAGCTAAAATACACCAAAAATTAATTTAAAGTGAACTATCCCTTTAAGATGGACTTTGACACCATTTTCTTCTACATCTTCTGTACAGCCGAAACAAATTTTGTTGCATTATTTTCCTGTTATCATCTGTATTTTTTAAAGCGCTATATTAATAAAGGTGACTTGACTAGAAGTAATCCATACCAATATTTACATATGAAAAATATCCTAAATTATATTTTTTCATATCATAGTCAAGTCAAATTTTTATTTATGAAGTGCTTTCTACAATACTGATTTTAATTTGACAGGAACATTAAAACATAACAGGAAATTAATCCAACAAAGTTTATGGATTAATGGTAATAAGTTTAAAGTTGAGTGTACTTAAATTTGATTTACTTGTTACCTTTGTGTGTTTGAATAAGTTGGTACAATATTTATACAATTCAACTTAAAACCAATAAATACGTTTATATTGTTGTGTTTTTGTTGGCGGCAGATAATATAGGCAAGGCAAGTTTATTTATAGCACATTTCATACACAAAGTGCTTTACATAGAAAAGAAATTATAATAATGATCTCAGACATCACCATAATGAATGAGCTGAAAACAGGAAACTTTTGGAGACAAAGAGGTTTTTCAGCTGCTCAGTTTAACATGATGGCCCTGTACTTTTTAAATGCAGATTGGATAAAAACACAGTGATCACAGTTCACACCTGCAGTGAAGCCCCTCCCACAACAATTCACCAATAAATACTGGGAATATTCCCATCATCCTACAAGAGAAGGACAAACTCCAGGAGTAGCAGCTGAAATCTGTGTGACTGTTAAAGATGGAGTTTATTAAAGAGGAGATTGAAGACATGACTGATCCAGAACCATCCAGAATAAAACATGAAGATACTGAGGAACCGATAGGTTGGTGTCCATTCTTGATTCTTCATTGTTGATGCTTTGGTAGATGTGAATGAATAAGCAGTTTATGGATATTAAATGATGGAGAAATATATCTAAATGATCGTAACCCTTTTATCATAATTAGAGGTCGACTAGAGGTGGATTTTACCAATAACTAGGTTTGACATAATCTTGCAGATAACTTATTAATGAACCGATATATTTTTAAAATGGAACAACAAACAACACTTTAAAGTGTGCAACACACCAAGTTTTTGTGCATCGGCCAACTAAGTTTTCTCACTGTGTTCTGCAACGCCGGCTGAAATTTGTTCTCGTCGGCTCTGTTTCGGCATGTTGAATCAGCGTCGGGCCGTCAGTGAAAGAGGGAACTCTGATGGGCTGTTCAGCTTAGTGAAAGAGTCAATGCACGAGAATAAAAGCAAAACAGCGAGCAAAGGTCAAAACTCATCTTATCCAAGTGTTCCTTGGCGAATATTTCAGTATTAACACGAGCGGAGTGGAATAAAGAAAGGTTTTATCAGGATTGAAATTCAAAACAGTAAGCACGCATTGCTTTGTTTGTGAAACCTGATCTCTGTTGCTTTCTGCTATTTAATAAGGGTTCACTTGAACTGATTCTAACTTGATGTGTTTTTTAGACCAGGTGGAAGTGAAAGTGCAAAGTCAAGAACTGAAAGAAGATGAAGAGGAGGAGGAACATAATTCCGTTATAACTCAAAGAGCAAAATCCAAAAAACTGTACACCTGCACTCAGTGTGGAAAGATTTTCCAACAAAAAGGAAACCTTGAGGCGCACATGAGAATTCACAATGGTGAGAAACCATATGCATGTCCTCAGTGTGGAAAGAGTTTCACACAAAAAGGATACCTTAAGACACACTTAATAATGCATTCTGGAGAGAAACCACATGCATGTCCTCATTGTGAAAAGAGTTTCGTACAAAAAGGATACCTTAAGATACACATGAGAACTCACACTGGAGAGAAACCGTATACGTGCCCTCAGTGTGAAAAGAGTTTCGCACAAAAAGGAGACCTTAGAACGCACTTGAGAATTCACACTGGAGAGAAACCGTTTACATGCACTCAGTGTGGAAAGAGTTACACATATTCATCTGATCTCAGAATTCATCTGCTCCGTCACTCTGGAGAAAAACCTTTTGTCTGTGATCAGTGTGGGAAAGAGTTTATTTCATCAACACATCTAAATAAACACCTGACTGTTCATTCAGATGAGACGCCTATATTGTGTTCTCTCTGTGGAAAGAGTTTTGCAAGGCTGGAAGGATTTAAACGGCACCAGAAAATGCATAATGAAGTGAGAGATCATGTGTGTTGTGACTGTGGGAAAGGGTTTACTACATCTAGTCATCTGAAACAGCACCGAAGAATTCATACTGGAGAAAAACCTTACAAGTGCTCATATTGTGACAAGAGATTCACTCAGTCTGCAAACCTGAAATCTCACGAGCGACTTCATACTCGAGAAAAGCCGTACGTCTGTACTGTTTCACCCAAAGAATCTAGTGACTCGTATTAAAAAGCATTGTTCTGTATCACAATGAGCAAATGTTGTCTTCAGATCCTAAACCTCTTAAGTAAATCATGTGAGATTCACAATCACATAAAGTAAATGTGTAGTTAGTTAACTAATAAACTAAAAATTTATTGGAGAAAAATATTGATTTGAAATGAAATTTTATGTAACGTTTATTTAAAGAAATATCAAAATGACTGGAAACAAATGTAAGAAATAAGAAGCAATTCCTAAAGGTTTTTTTAATATGTAGATTTTTGTTTTACTTCTGTTTTTCGTTTACATGAAACCTGCTATTTGATTAACAGATGTATTAAAAAGTCGACCCATTTCTCTGCAATATAAAAGTAGTTTTTGTATGTGTCTATACAGTACATGTCTGTAAGCTCTGTACAATAACTCTAAATAAAATTAACATTTCACTGACAATGTGTGATTTTTGTGTGAAAACATTATCTACAGATCAGATGAAGCAAATGTATATTGAAATAAACATGTTCTGTGGTGTTGGTGTAACTTTGATTTGTTATTTAGTCGCCTGTAGCCTATATATATATCATAGAACAATATACTTTATAAATGACTTAAAATTTATATATATATATGAAGAGTTCAGATGCAAAAGCCTCTAAGTGCCATTTGAAATTTTCTTCTAGAATGATAATTTTTATCAAGCTTGTATATTTAAGTTCAGTGATTTCACTTAAATGGCAATGATAATTACCTATTAATTGTTATTTAAGTGAAATTACTGAACTAAATATACAAGTTTGATCAAAATAATCATTAAAGAAGAAAATTTCAAATGGCATTTAGAGGCTTTTGCATCTGAACTCTTCATATATAGGCAAGTCAGAACAATATACTTTATAAATGATTTTAAAATTTATATATATATATATATATATGTTAAGTAATTTATAAAGTATATTGTTTTGACTTGCCTGATTTCCATTCATAGATTCTGAATTGCACTGTATATCGTTCACATTATCATACCTTAACTTGGAACAATGGCAGTGTTCAGGGGAGGTGCATACAACAGAGCTTTCTCAGTTTATTGTATGAGGAACCTAGAGGTAACATTTAATAAATTTGTAATACAACACTTCAACCCGATAGAACACTTTTAGGATGATTTAGACCGGAGACTGCAAGCCATATATCACTCTGTCCTCTCCACCAAGGTCTGTGGTAGGCGTTCTGGCGCAATATGGTTGATGTCGCATCATCCAAGTGGATTCTGCACATTGGTGTCATTTTGGGTGTTCCTGTGCACTTCTTGTAACACATTATTTGTCATTGTGAGGTATTTTCCAAGACATTGAAAAGTACCCCTTATCACACAACGTTGCCCTGAGGCAACAAAAAGAAAAACTGTAATTTTTTTAAATATACTTTTCATGTTTAAATTGGATTTGTGATTAGTGATTCCCAAACCTCATGGGACCCAATTAATTTTTAATTGGTTGCAGTCATGTAAAGAACGTAATGAAAAAGGGCTTAAGAAAACTTTCCAGTGTATAGGGCTAATTTTCTAGAAAAACGACAGTAAATGCACATGTTCTCATTTCTAGTACATTATAAAGTACAATATAATCTGATATGATGACATTACAGTAATTATTACAGTGAAAGCTAACGTTTTACTATAAATTATTTTATTTGGGGGTTAGTTTTTTCCACATGAGACAAGCAGTTCTACTGTTTATTTATAAATATAATTGCAATACTCTATATAATAAATGTTCTAAAGCTATTTCTGAGGCAGGAACAGATTTTAAAATAGCTTTCAAAAGTTTTGTCTTATAGCTTGTTGAATTAAATGAAACGGAAACTATACTGGAATGAGTAAGAAATGCTTTTCATCAACTATAGCTTGGTGGTCCTGTTATTTCGCTCTGCGCCAGTGTTTATGTGGAAGAAAGAGTTGCTGACACGATCGAGAGACTGGTTTAGTCAAGCCTTTAATGGCGGACGACGAGGAGGATACAACACACACGACACGCGCACCCACGCGCATGCGCAGCCAGGGTCAGCATAGCGTTCAACGTCACAGAACACGTCACGATCCACATACTGGCGCTGTTGTTTATACTAGAAACAGATTGTACATAGATACGGGGCCATATTCAGGTTTATGGCATATCGACATTTCTGCTCAAACAACTTTACAAAGAGAAGCTACAATATGTCGGTAAACAGTGTAAGGCAGTACTTTGTCTAGTCAAACAACAACAAAACCGTCCTGATATTTGAATGTGCCTAAGTGTGGTTTCCACTTTGTGAGCACAAACCTACAAAAATGTATAGATTAAATGAGAGAAAGTGCAATATTTGACATTAGACTCTTGTTTTCTGAATCAGGGTTCACTTGAAATTGTACATTTATCCTCCTTAAACTGAGTATATGTTTATTTCTGACCAGATGGAGATGAAAGGGTAACGACAAGAACTGAAGTTAAAGGCAATGATGCTGTAGTTTGTTTCAGCCTGTTGACACCAATACAATGAACGTAATATGCCAATTTACTGAAGATCTCAGACATCACCAAAATGAATGAGCTGAAAACAGGGAACTTTTGGAGACAAAGAGGTTTTTCAGCTGCTCAGTTTAACATGATGGCCCTGTACTTTTTAAATGCAGATTGGATAAAAACACAGTGATCACAGTTCACACCTGCAGTGAAGCCCCTCCCACAACAATTCACCAATAAACACTGGGAATATTCCCATCATCCTACAAGAGAAGGACAAACTCCAGGAGTAGCAGCTGAAATCTGTGTGACTGTTAAAGATGGAGTTTATTAAAGAGGAGATTGAAGACATGAGTGATCCAGAACCATCCAGAATAAAACTTGAAGATACTGAGGAACAAACAGGTTGGTGTCCATTCTTGATTTTTCATTGTTGATGCTTTGGTAGATGTGAATTAACACGTATATGGATGATAAATGATAGAGAAATACTTTCAAAATATCATAACCTTGTCTATAGCAGTTGTCAAACATATTTTTCGTATATTAACAAGTGAGTGACAGAACAAAGAGTGAAAGATCTGATCTGTTGCTTTCTGCTATTAAATAAGGGTTCACTTGAACTGATTCTAACTGTATTTCTGTGTATTTTAGACCAGGTGAGAGTGAAAGAGGAAAGACAAGAACTGAATGAAGTGGAGGAGGAACATCGTAACTTTACAATTCAAAGAACAAAAGTCCAAAAGACGCACACCTGCACTCAGTGTGGAAAGAGATTCACAGAGAAAGGAAACCTTAACTCACACATGCGAATTCACACTGGAGAGAAATCGTATACATGCACTCAGTGTGGAAAGAGTTTTACTCAGAAAGTACACCTTTACACACACATGAGAATTCATACTGGAGAGAAACCGTATCCATGCACTCAGTGTGGAAAGAGTTATTCTGATTCATCAACTCTCAGTCATCATCTGCGCATTCACTCTGGAGAAAAGCCATTTAACTGTGATCAGTGTGGTAAAGATTTTATTTCATCAAAACATCTAAAACAACACCTGAAAGTTCATTCAGATGAGAAGCCTTATGTGTGTTCTCTCTGTGGAAAGAGTTTTTCAAGACTGGATCATTGTAAACGGCACCAGAAAACACACAATGAAGTGAGAGATCATGTGTGTTGTGACTGTGGGAAGGGATTTACTAGATCTAGTTATCTGAAACAGCACAGAAGAATTCATACTGGAGAAAAACCTTACAAGTGCCCGGATTGTGGCAAGAGTTTCACTCATTCTGGATCTCTGAAATATCATGAGCGAGTTCATACTGGAGAGAAGCCGTACGACTAAACTCAGTGTGGGAAGAGTTTCTCCTACTGGAATCAAGAATGGACAAAATGGAGAAAAGCCATTTAAAGGAGAACTCCGGCGAACAATGAACCTTTGGTCTAATGAAACATTGGTACCTAGTCAATCGTTCTCTGAGTTTTGTTTTCATGATAATCGAATGTAAAGAGTTTTATCTCTAAAAACTGTTTAGCGTATAATGCTAGTAATGGGGGCATTGACTAAGTAAAAAGAAATCGCTAGTTTATACCACTAACAAGGCTCAAAATAGCCACACACTAACGCAGTAACATAATGAGGCTAGAAACTTCCAACCTTTCTGCCTCCTTCACGTGGTGAGACGACAACAATCCGGCTTTAGATTCTGTATATTCGGCAATTTCTTTTCCAACAATGGACCGAATGGCTTTTCTCACGTCTTTCTCTGCTGCCATTACTGAACTCAAACTGACGCGCTACATCATCATCGTTCGCAGCCACTCCCTTTATTCGCTGATTGGTCCTACAAAAAATTGATGTCTGGATACCTAAGGATACATGGCTCTGCTGAGGATATACAGCAGTCCCAGACGTAGTACTGAAGGAAAATGAAATTGAGCGGAAGTGCGTAGGAGGGCGCAGCCAGGCTACCACCTCGCCAGACTATTTCAATTTTCTGAATTTTCTTAAATGTTAAATAAAGAAACATGGTAAAAAGATGAAAATGACTTGATTTTACTTTCAATTCCTTTTACATTCTCCAAGGTATTAACATTAACATTTTTCATAACTCCAAATAAATGTAAGCACTAGTAATGCAATATTTAGAAAATGTACTCTTGATACTCAAGTACTTCAGTATTTTACTTAAGTATACATCTGACTGTAGTACTTTTACTTGTACTTGAGTAAAATTTAGCAAAGGGTATCTGTACTTTTACTCAAGTAATAAAGCTGTGTACTCTGTCCGCCTCTTTTAGCCTTAAAATTCTTTGTGAATATGGCCCCAGAATAAGATATCCATCCAGATGTGAAGACGAAAAAAGAAATCCTACTGGAGACCCTTTAGATGCAGATTTTAATATATATATATATATATATATATATATATATATATCTTGAAAATTATTTTAAATCTTTTCAGCAATATGGAATGCAGGAAAGCTTCCTTCTTCATGGAAGCATGGAATAATAAAACCAGTAGGCAAACCTGGAAAGGCCAAATCCAATCCAATTAATTATAGGCCAATTAACTTCTCATTTATGTAAACTAAAAACTGGTTAGACTAAACTAAACATTGGAATTTAAATGAGTTTTATCATCATACTAGAGTGGATTTAATAAAGAGGTATTGGTAGGGGTGTCATTCGATATTGAGAAAGCGTGAATGAAGTAAGGAACTTGAATCATAATAGGGGAAAGCATTTTTGAAAGTATATAAAGTAGATGAAGAACAAGATGAAATATAGTGCTTTTATAAAGCAATATGAATAGTCTAGGGAATTTAAAGTAATTGGAATTATTGTGATTATTTTCATACTTTTGTTTATTTAAGTTGTTAATTTTGTATTTGCGTATTAGTGCTTTACACTCCAGTCCAGTTGGTGGCGGTAATGCACAGAAAGTTAGTTTGCCAACCGCCATTGAACTATAGAAGAAGAAGAATAGTAGCGTTCCTGTGTTTTTATCTTCCCGTGGATTACTCGTGGACTGTTTTCTATAGTGGACTGATTCATGTAAGTTTGCTTACTTTTTTTCTTTGTCTCTACTGTTGTGTTTGCTGGTGATCGACCCTGATTGTACGATCCAAGATTAAAGCTGCAAATGATGAATCCTTACTTTGCTAAATAGCCTCGTTACAATTAAATTAAGTTTTAAGTTTATATTTTGGAAGTGACATAAAACCGAAATGTAGGCTATGCATTTTTTCTGCCAACTGTTTGATGTATTTTTTATTAACGTGCGTAAAAAAAATCTCCACATCGTTTTGGTGGATTGAGTCTGTGGAAATGTCGCTTAAATGTGTTTAGCTTTCATTAAACTTGATGTAATGTATGTTATTAGCCATATCTGTGACCTGTGTATTAGATGAATTGTGTGAAGTTTAGTAGATGCAAGTTTGAATAAATCACGGAGACACTGGTTCATGGTTCATGCGACTTGCTGTTTTACAGAACTTTTATTCTTGTTTTTTATAGGAAACAACCCAACACATCTTTAGACTGCTAGCGCCATCCTCAGATAAGGAATAATAATACAATTCCCATACATCACATCTCCCCTTTTAAGAAATAAATTCCCTTATGCAGAATAGTTTAAACACAACTAGTATTATTATTATTTTCTCAATTACACTCTATAACTTTAATCAGCAGCATTGTTCCCATAACCCATTAACTATAAACATCTCTTTACTCTTTAACTCCTCATATGCTTTCATGGAGAATAGAGTTTTGGTGGTCTAATCAGTCCAGGGTCCGAAATTAACTTTTTGGCTCACCTGCCACAGGGACTACCAGCCAAAATAATACATTAATTTTTATATATAGGCTTTATTTACATTTTTTGACATTATGTATATGAAAATAATACATATGTGTATTATTTTCCATTTTTACGTTTATTTACACACATTTCACACAATTTACACACATTAAAATAATATTTTTGTGGTGGTGCTTATGAAAATAGTTTTGTACAAATGAAATGTATTAATAGTATATTTAATAAAATATATACAAAAATAATATACTTATTTTTAAAAAAAAGTTTATGCTGCCTATTGTTTTATTCCATTTATTCAGTAACTGAAGGACTAGAAATATCAGTTTTTTAACCATTCATTAAAATGAATCGGTTCAAAGGAGTCATTATTTCGCCATTTGGACGTGTCATTATCGGACGTGTTTGCGTAGTGTGATTACCCCGGCAGCTAGGACATCCCACAAGATTTGCCAACAGAAAACATTTAATCACTGAATAGGTTTTTTCGTTTATTTTTACCACTGTGTCGATATATTTTAATTAATATGTGCCGGGGAGAGAGAGGAAGACAGTGCTTAGGAGACGGTGAAGCCTTGTTTATACTTTAGCCTGGCTCCGAAGAGAAAGAGTGTGTGAGCGACCCCTCTCTCTCTCTCCTGCTTTATTCACTCGCACAATCACATCCCTGATGATGGCCCTGTACTGTTTAAATGCAGATTGGATAAAAACACAGTGATCACAGTTCACACCTGCAGTGAAGCCCCTCCCACAACAATTCACCAATAAATACTGGGAATATTCCCATCATCCTACAAGAGAAGGACAAACTCCAGGAGTAGCAGCTGAAATCTGTGTGACTGTTAAAGATGGAGTTTATTAAAGAGGAGATTGAAGACACGACTGATCCAGAACCATCCAGAATAAAACATGAAGATACTGAGGAACAAATAGGTTGGTGTCCATTCTTGATTCTTCATTGTTGATGCAACACGACACAGAATGGTGTGGCAAACCATCAACGCCATGCAAGATCCGATCTGTGTTGTTTCCTGCTATTAAATATTGATTCACTTGAACTGATTCTAACTGTATTTCTGTGTGTTTTAGACCAGGTGAGAGTGAAAGAGCAAAGGCAAGAACTGAATGAAGTGAAAGAGGAACATCGTAACTTTACAATTCAAGCCCAAAAGATGCACACCTGCACTCAGTGTGGGAAGAGTTTCACAAAGAAAGGAAACCTTAACATACACATGAGAATTCACACTGGAGTGAAACCGTATCCATGCACTCAGTGTGGAAAGAGATATTCTCGTTCATCAACTCTCAGTTATCATCTGCGCATTCACTCTGGAGAAAGGCCATTTCACTGTGATCAGTGTGGTAAATATTTTAATTCAGCATCACATCTAAAAGATCACCTACAAGTTCATTCAGATGAGAAGCCTCATGTGTGTTCTCTCTGTGGAAAGAGTTTTTCAAGACTGAACGGTTTTAAAAAGCACCAGAAAACACACAATGAAGTGAGAAATCATGTGTGTTGTGACTGTGGGAAGAGCTTTACTACATCTGCCTCTTTGAAACAGCATGAAAGAATTCATACTGGAGAAAGACCTTACAAGTGCTCATCTTGCGACAAGAGTTTCACTCGGTCTGGATACCTGAAATCACACGAGCGAGTTCACACTGGAGAGAAGCCGTACGACTGTACTCAGTGTGGGAAGAGTTTCGTAGATAAAAGAAACCTTACCACACACATGATAATTCACACTGGAGAGAAACCGTATACATGCACTCAGTGTGGAAAGAGTTTCGCAATGAAAAGAACACTTAAGACACACATGATCGTTCACACTGGAGTGAAACCGTATCCATGCACTCACTGTGGAAAGAGCTTTACTCGTCCATCAACTCTCAGGCATCATCTGCTCCGTTACTCTGGAGAAAAGCCATTTAACTGTGATCAGTGTGGTAAAGATTTTCTTTCATCATCAAATCTAAAAGATCACCTGAAAGTTCATTCAGATGAGAAGCCTTCTCTTTATGCAGAGAAGTATGCAAGAAATTCATTTCAATTAATCATAAATTTTCCCTGATATGTCACTGGACATTAAGAAATCATGTTCATTTCAAATACTTACATCACTGACAAGTAGTCCGGCCTGGATATTGTCATTTAAATAGTGAAGTCGCAGCTCTTGACTGATGTTGATATTGTCAAGTTGTGTTTTGTTCTGATGCGTCACCCTCCACCGATCTACCAATCACAGACTCAGTAGTGTTGCGGCATTCGGGTTGCCAGCTCTTCTCTAGTTACCACAGCTGCAGAGACAAACGTGTCAGAATCGGAAAAAAATTCTAACGTTGTGAAACCGCGAAAAACTCGATGTGAATCTGAAATACTTTGTTACAAAGTCTGAAATAAATAATTAACTGAAAAAAAAACCTCACTGTCTACGACTCGTCACTTGCAATTGGAAATTTCTTGTAGCAGCTTACAATCATGCTGGACACTGCAGCATATCTGGCAACCTCGAGTCAGGGGAGAAGTCGGGGATAGACCCTAATTTGAAAGTTATTGCAGTACCAGTTTTGGCCACAATCTGGCGTACACCTCCTTTAAAGGTCCCGTTCTTCGTGATCCCATGTTTCAAACTTTAGTTAGTGTGTAATGTTGTTGTTAGAGTATAAATAATATCTGTAAAATTATAAAGCTCGAAGTTCAATGCCAAGCGAGATATTTTACTTAACAGAAATAGTCTACATCAAACCTTAAAGTCCCCGTGAAATCAAAATTGAACATTTACTTTGTTAGCGCATATTACTAGTCTTGTGGTGAACAATTAATCCGTGCAAGTGAATATATATTAAAAAAATGTTTTACCTTAGTAATCTTTAATCAAAATCTGAAAAGTTACTTCCGGTCTGGAACGGTTTCTTTTTCTGATGACGTAGGTTTCACAGTTTGGGTGGGGAAACGCTTAACCACTCCCCTCAAACCGTTAGTTTTCTATGAGCGAGAGATGGAGAGGAGGAGCGCTAGAGTAAAACCCTGCCCTCTGTTCAATATTCCGTTTCACTTGGAAATACGTCACAGCACTGGAGAAAAATCGTTTGCAACTTCCGGTTCACGGGGACTTTAATGAAACTGTCCTACTTTAATGACGTCAGTAGGACAGTTTTTTGACTAACGTCCGCCCACAGGAATGCTCCCTCAACTCCTGCACTTCTTATAACTTTTACTGTTTCCTCAACTCAACCCAATTCGTTGGAAACTCCTCCGATAAGAGGGCTCCGTTCCCTACTCAGGGAATGGGCTATATGCACGCATAAATTCCGCATTTGACGCAAGGATACTCGTCCATTTCCGGCTGTGGAGATTAAAGCGGAGGAAAACCGAGGAAAACGGGAGTCTTCATTTATGAGTCTTTAAAATTTACTGTCCTCCCGTCTTTGAAACGAAACGTACATACGTTTAGACATAATTTTATATATAGTCATATTTATTTAATATAATTTTTAAAAGAAGCATAAACACAACGAGGGGTGTCTGTTTTATCTGTTTTTGTGACTAACGTTCCTTTAGTATAACCATGGAGTATAAAATTTAATATAAATTCTGGGTATTGCATTGGACTCTACAATCGTCAGAAGTTATCGAGCATCCTTAGACCTGCACCGGAAATACCGCCATGCATAGAGCCCATTGAGCCCGATTGATAAATGATTTTGAAGACCGATACAAATATTTGTTGGTTTTAAAATCCAATATTCCGATATATCGGCCGATATTATTATTTTTTTATTTTCGAAACGCGCAACAAAATATTAACAGATTTCCCTAACATTAGTTATTTGTAGTTAATTATGAGTTTTAACTAAAATAATATGATAATGCATTACTGGTTCTCTCTGCCCGACTCTGGCTGGATCAGCAGGTTGCAGGATGTGTGGCGCGTTATACACGAGTGTTGCCAACAGGGACGGTGTAGAGTGCCCTCTGGTGGACAAACTATACAACTCTAACACTCATGACATGGTTGAAGCGTGATTCGTCTGTTTTTGTTTTATTTTTAAAATATTAATTTATCGGCCATTATAACTGCCGATACCGATATTTTAGAAAATGCCTAATATCGGCCGATAATATCGGCCTGGCTCTATCAGGGAACAAGGGTTGCCATAACTGAGACGTTTCTTAGGCAAATTAGTTGTGTTCCTAGGTTATTCTGGCATTTTAATCTTATTGACTGCTTTGGTTAACAGAATTAATAATTAAATACATGTTTGCATGTATGTTACATTTGGAAGTTTTCAGGAGGTCATGTACAGTAATTGACTGTATTTTTAGTTGTTTAAATCTATATAAACTTCGATTAGCATTTGTTTATAGATTATGCCCTATTTTGCATGACAGTGTGCCTTAAATGTGTCTTTACAGGTATGTTTGGCCCTCAAGTCCATATGTTTGATTGTATAAATAAAAATTAAAGATCTACACAATTTGTAGTTTTGACAAATCATATACTGTAGTATGAATAAACATATGAAATTTATGATTTGTAAGTGCATCATTGTGTTATGACTTTAAATCATAATTAATTATTAACTAACCATACACTAACATAAAGTATTGGCTTGTTATTGCATGAATGTGTCATGACTTTCATCCACGTTTGGTAGAGCTGATCAAGGGTATTACTGATTAGTTAATTAATTTGAATATCCCCAACTGAGCAAGCCAAAGGCAACAATGGCAAGAAACTGAAATCATCCATCGAGTGACCTAATGGTGAAAAAAACCTTGGGCTCAGTCTTAGGCCCTTCACGATAACAAATTTTGCTGGACGATAAATTGTCCAAGAAATTATGGCGGCTGGGCTGACAACAGTTAACAAGCATCAGCCAGTGAGCGATTGCCATCATTGTGTGACAAACTGATTCCTTTTGACAGCATGTAATACGTGTTTATTAATCGACAGACCACTGCGTGAAATTTGCATGTGTTGTGAATCATCAGAGTCAGAGAGAACCTTTCATAGCTTTCTTTATTCAGCAGAGTCATTAGGCAAGGGTCAAAACCAGCAGACACAGCAGTGTGTAGACAGGGATAGATCGTGATATAAATACCAGGTAGAAGCTCGGGGCAGGCAGATAATACTCAGAGTCCGAGATCCAGGCAGATGGTAGACAAGGAGATATCAAATACAGACAGGGTCACAAACGATATGGCACGGCAGTCACAGGAATAAACACTTAGTAAAGTTCACAATAGCAAAAGAAGACTTTGCACAGCCATGAAGCCTGATTAGATGAGCCACAGCTAGTCAGAATCAGAGCTGGGGCTATTGGGAAATGTAGCTAATGTGCTAGCCTGGCTGCGCCCTCCTACGCACTTCCGCTCAATGGACTATGTGCACGTTAGCATATGCTAGTTCCGGCTGCGAAACCGATATGGGGTGGCTAGTTTCCGGTAGCCTGATGGACGACGTAGAGGATATATGTTTCTCCAGATGTCTTGAACATTTGCCGAATATTACAGTCGATTATGTTCATCGACTGAATGATTTTCCTCCAGCTCCCCAGAGCAAGAGAGAAGGGGTTTAAATATTACATTTCTCAGTATTTGCATCATTTTGAAGGGAACGTTAAGTCACAACAACATCCATGCTCAGACTGATCTCATGAAATTGCGTATGACACGTATCACGTATTTTTGGCATGCTATCAACACGCATAATCTCTTTTCAGCGTGTTTATGAATACCGCGACTTAACGTTATTATTGTATATATATATATATATATATATGAAGAGTTCAGATGCAAAAGCCTCTAAATGCCATTTGAAATTTTCTTCTAGAATGATCCTTTTTATCAAGCTTGTATATTTAAGTTCAGTGATTTCACTTAAATGGCAATGATAATTACCTATTAATTGTTATTTAAGTTAAATTACTGAACTTAAATATACAAGAAGAAAATTTCAAATGGCATTTAGAGGCTTTTGCATCTGAACTCTTCATATATATATATATATATACACACAGACAGTGTGTATATATAGCATATGACCTACCTCAACCCCAACCTACCCATCACTACCATCCTAGTAAAAAATAAATATCGCTCCCCAGATGTAGATCTACATTTTGTTTTGTTTCGCTCGGACATTTGACGGCGTGTACATATGCGGTACACGTGGAATCACTCGGACATTAATGTTGCCATGCTACGTGCTCAAGCTATGCGATTTGGTAACTGTTATATCTCTCTATACATTATAAAATGCGAAATCATGCGTTAGAAAGTGCATTTTCCAGAACAGTTTGTGTTGGCCATTGTTTTGTTTATGATGTTTAGAGGCTATGTTGTTGACAACCACTATCTATATAGAATGTCATATAGATCAGTGTTGACAACCACACATGTCATACAGGGAGTAAAGGTATCCGACGTTGGTTCGTTCGTTATCAAGTTAGGCTGTTTAACACATATTAGGCTGTTCACAGATATTTCTAAACAGGTCTCCCTTGCAAAATAGGTTCTAAACCCAGGGGCTTCTCCTGGTTAAAGGGTATAATATAATAAATAATTAGTAGCCTAAAAACTTCCTTCTAGTTGTCATGGATACGCAACGCTCCACTTTGTAAAGCGACTGCTTGGGTGCGGTGACAAAATGTGAAATATCGTTTACTTTTCACAATGCAGCAGCGCCTGGCTCCACCCAAATATGAGTGAAAACTGTGTTGGTTGACTTGACAATGAACAAACGAACATAGTTTTAGACAAATATATTTAGATAGCTAAGCTTTAGATAGCCGGTCCACTGATGTAGGTAAACAACGGCAACCGGAACCGAAGTACCCAACATCCGCCCTCAAGGCGGAAGTTAGCATTTTTCTCGTGTACTGCAATGAAATGAACTAGAGTCTGGTTGAACCAGTGCACCAGGAAGAGTCTATATTTTTGTAACTTTCTTTGTAGAGGCAATTCTGTTATTTCCTGTGATTATATATTTCGGTATTATTTCCTATGTTTTTTATGTATAATTTTTGCTCTGTTACTTTAATGCTTTGAACGTTTTCGAAAATGAAATAAGAGCATAAAGTGATTTCTTACCATCTTCTCTATCATTTATGGATAAAACTTGTGTTAAATCTAGGTAAGACGAGATTAATCAAGAGCAATGTATGTATTATTTCTGAATTGGCTTCTAATTCACTTTTGGCTAAGCCCCGTCCCCCCCTTCTGGGCTCTGGTTTTTCACAGTCAAACAATGAACCACCGCATATCCTACTAACCGAGACGGAGGCTGGGACTAACAATATCAGGGAGCACACAGTTTCTATTCACTTCTTTATAATCGTTATTACAAAGCAAACGGACTACACGAGTATAACGTTGCATTTATTAGCAGCGTGTGCTAGCAGCTAGCGTGTCAACAACCGGTATGAGAACCGAAATCATAACCTAAAACACTATAAAACGGTCTAACTAGTATAACTTCACAGTAAGGTTAGAAGCAAAAAAGATGTGCTTGTTGATGTTTGAGGGGTTTAGCTGACTGAGGACGTCCACACAGTTTAATCCAAAAACGACACTTGTCAGGATTTGACTTCGGTTTTGGGAAGGGAAAAACGGACACCCCCCTCCAACCTCTCTGGGAAACGCGTGTCTGTGTTACAAATGCCAGAGGCACAACGTTTAACCATATTTTTGATAAAACTACGACGGTAATAGCCCGCGGAAACCAAAAATATGAGACGCCTGTGTTAAAAGTCAATGCTGTGAACAAAGTCTGAGATACCCAGAATAATTAGATCTGTAGCCTATCACAGTTATAAAGATCTAAATTTAATCAATCAACATTTAAGATCATTTTATAATAAGAAATCTAAATCCGATCTAAATTTGATAATCAGAGTCAGATCCGAAGTAAAACTGAAACTAAATAATACAAATTAAGTGAACTTAACAGAAAACTGAAAAGACATACAAGTATTATACCTTTGCCCACACTGCTTGATTCCACCATGGTGTTACTCCATCACTTCAAAAGAATTATATTTGAAAATATTCTTCTCAGTAATACTAAAGATATTACTATAAATTACAGCAACGCCTTGCCTTTCAGACGAGGCTCATATTTATAACAGTAATCTTGTGGGGTTGACTCATTTAAAGTATTGTAACTGTTTGGTTTTAGTCAGGTTCTGATCTAGATTATGATCTCTAATCATATTATTTACAATTACTGCTTTGAAGAAAAATGGATTTAATACGCATTGTTTAAATAGCAAGTGCATTTGCGTCCATGGGCCACTGGTCTGAAAAAGTGTGTTCACACGTATAGATGGCGAGTTTCTATTTTAATTTTTGTTAGCCATATAGTGCAGTTTACTATGGTGATGAAAACAGGTAAAAACCAATCCACTTTCTTTCTTTCAGCCAGATTTTGCTCAAACTAATCTCGAAATTTTTATTGTTTTACTAGAGACAAAGAACTGCCTTACACTGACAGCTAAATGACAAATCAGAAAGTTACAACTTAAAAACTACTTCCACAAAACTAACGTTACAGAATTAATGTTTATTTCACTCTACGTTTGCTTTTTCGGAATCTGTTTATTTTAATAATTTGATCTGTAGAAACCTTTTACTCACAATATCACACATTGTCAGTGAAATTTCAAATTTTCTTTGTTGCCATTGTATAGATGCATGTAATTGTACACACATCTGTTTATGTAAAAACATGTCTGCATTTAACTAAAAGACTAAAACCCTGATCAAATTCAAGGAATTGTTTCATATATTAACAAATTAGTTGTTTTTCTACATTTGTTTCCAGTCTCTTTTAATTTTGGTATTTCTTTGAGTAAAAAATAAATAAAATTCAATAATATTAGTTGTCCAAAAAATAAATTTGTGGCATTTCACACAAACAACTGGGCTTCTCTCCAGTGTGAACTCGCTCGTGTGATTTCAGGTGTACAGAATGAATTGGACTCTTGTCACAGCATGAGCACTTGTGAGGTTTTTCTCCAGTATGAGTTCGTTGATGCCGTTTCAGATTCCCAGCACTGGAAAATCTCTTCCCACAGTCAAAGCACAAATAATCTCTCACTTCATGTGTTTTTAGGTGCTGTTTAAAACTGGATAGACGTGAAAACCTCTTTCCACAGAGAGAACACACATAACCATACTGATCACAGTTAAATAGGTTTTTTTCAGAGTGAATGTGCAGATGATGTTTGAGTCCTGATGAAGATGTGAAACGTTGTCCACACTGAGTGCACGGATACGGTTTCTCTCCAGTGTGAATCTTAATGTGTGCGTTAAGATGTTCTTTCTGTTTGAAACTCTTCCCACACTGAGTGCAGGCGTACGGCTTCTCTCCAGTGTGAACTCGCTCGTGTGATTTCAGGTTTCCAGAATGAGTGAAACTCTTGTCACAGTATGAGCACTTGTAAGGTTTTTCTCCAGTATGAATTCTTTGGTGCTGTTTAAGACATTCAGCTCTAGTATAACTCTTCCCACAGTCACAACACACATGATCTCTCACTTCATTGTGCGTTTTCTGGTGCTGTGTAAAACTGGACAGACGTAAAAAACTCTTTCCACAGAGAGAACACGCATAAGGCTTCTCACCTGAATGAATTTTTAGGTGATCTTTTAGATGTTTTGATGCAATAAATTTTTTACCACACTGATCACAGTTAAATGGCTTTTCTCCAGAGTGAATGCGAAGATGATCACTGAGAGTTGATGCTTGAGTAAAACTCTTTCCACACTGAGTGCATGTATACGGTTTCTCTCCAGTGTGAATTCTCATGTGTCTCTTAAGGGCTCCTTTCTCAATGAAACTCTTTCCACACTGGGTGCAGGTATATGGTTTTTCTCCAGTGTGAATTCTCATGTGTGTGTTAAGGTGTCTTTTCTGTGAGTAACTCTTCTCACACTGAGTGCATGTATACGGTTTCTCTCCAGTGTGAATTCTCATGTGTCTATTAAGGTCACCTTTCTGTGAGAAACTCTTTCCACACTGAGTGCAGGTGTGCGTCTTTTGGACTTTTCTTCTTTGAATTGTAAAGTTACTATGTTCCTCCTCCACTTCATTCAGTTCTTTTCTTTCCTCTTTCACTCTCACCTGGTCTAAAACACACAGAAATACAGTTAGAATCAGTTCAAGTGAACCCTTATTTAATAGCAGAAAACAACAGATCAGATCTTTCACTTGTTATTCGTTCATTCATTGTTAATATAGTAAAAATATGTTTGACAACTGCTATATACAAGGTTATGATCATTTGGATGTATATCATTTATCATCCATATACTGCTTATTAATTCACATCTACCAAAGCATCAACAATGAAGAATCAAGAATGGACATCAACCTGTTTGTTCCTCAGTATCTTCATGTTTTATTCTGGATGGTTCTGGATCACTCATGTCCTCTTTAATAAAGTCCATCTTTACTCTAGTACGGCACACAGATTCACCTGGAGTGTCTCCTGCGTGTTAAGATGCACTTCTAGTCTTGATGATGAGAATATTCATATTTTGAAATGGCTGTGATCACTCTGAAACAAGAGAAGAACATAAATAACTGATTAAAAAAAAACAACAACATTTGACTGACGACACATCTTAATGCTCATTGGTTGCGAATCTCAGCTGATAATTTTTTTTCCTTAATTCTAAGAAGTGTATTACCTACGGCCTAAAACCATTACTTTTTCTATAGTACTTTATACGTAAACTAAAAAAACGAATTGATCAAGCTAAAATGTATTTCAAATTTGATGATGAAAAAAGAAAGCTTTACACAGGATGTGTTGTTTGCTTCTCATGACTTTGAAACTCAGAAGGACTGTACAAATGGACCACATTCTCAACAAAGTGAGGAATTTTAGGGACATTCCGGAGAGAGCAACTCATTTTTATAACCTCTCTCTCTGTCAAAAGCAACTTGGTTTCATTTTACTTTAAACCTTGTTTTATTTGGTGCTGAATTGCTGTTTATTGTTTTACACAAGAGAAGTTTCATTAGATGCATGTTGCACCACCACTCCATTTACTGAATTGGCCATTTTAAGTGATGAGCATTGTTCACCTTCGGTGGTTCTCCTCATCATAATCATCTTCGAGTAAAAACAGTGGTATCGCGAACGCCATCTCGTCCACTGATGACGCTTGTAGTCCACAACACAGCGAGATTCAGAAATATCCGGCTTGACTGCGCTCTTTTCACTCCTCCGCTCACTGCAGCCGCCTACTCTCGCATACATTTCAAACGAGGCAAGGCGCATCTCAAACAAGCCTTATGTAACACATACAAATACCCACTCAGTTGAAGCAACCCCTAAACTCGTTATAAATACGTAATAGACACATAACGCGCTCTCCTTACCGTCTCAAAAGTCCACATTCGATTCCCCATCCGGCAACACCACCAGTACAACAAAGTCAGTGGTTTGGCAGCTCCAGTGGTCTTTACTCTTTATGAATCGCATTACATATCAACACTACACTCCAACGCACGGCACGCAAGCAGCAGCGCGCAACAATCACGTAACGTCCCCCGAAAGTGACGCACAATGGCACTGTGTCCGAAAGTATGAATGCGAGCTGTTTGTGCACATAAATCGTATTTATACTTTTGTATAATAAAAACAAAAAGGGACCTAGGCGGCCTATATAAGGCATTTCTCTCTCTCTCTTGAATTTCTGTCTCTCTGTTTCAACAATACCAAAGCTCTAAAGTTTGTTACATCTTACACATAAATAGTATTTATGCTTTTGTATAATGAAAACAAAAGGGACTCGAAGGATTGCTCACTCTCTTGAATTTATTTTAAATTATATTGCCCCGATCTGGATCAATTTTTCGTTTATTTATTTTTTTGTTAAAAGTTTTGCTTTTACTATTTTTTATAAGTAGGCTATATGTTGTTGTTATTTAAATCTGTTTTGAGATATATGTATGTAATATGTATTTGCGGTTATATTTGTTAAAAAAATGAATACGAGCTGTAGGCCTACATCATTCACTATGTTGACGTTTTCATGCGACTTACGACGTTCACAAACGCAACAACTTAAATATGACTGACAGGTTTAATTAATTTAATTTACATGTAGATAATGAAAAAGATGAATTGGGATTGGCATTTAAAGACATTGTAAACTAAACTGGAGTTAGACAACACGTGTCAGAACTTACTCGTTGTTGTAATCATAGGCTACTCTATATATGATATTATCACATTGGCGGGTGGATTATTATTTATTTTTAACAACAGATTCAAGTGACTCCTAGTGTTACGATTTTGCATACTCTGCCTCTTTTTGAGCCACGAAAAACCCTGACATTGATCCATATAATTTTGTCTACTGCAGGCTAGGAAGATTTTTTTTTGGATAATTTTTTAATTTGGTCATAGAAGAAGTGAAGGAGCAGTAGCCCACCCCCAATTATGGTGGGGGGTAATTCGCAATCTGCATTTTTAAATAAATGCATTAAATGCTTGTAGGCCTAGGCCTATATGTTAATAATTGTATAGCCTAGTCCCTTTTCTTATAAATAAATAAAAAAAATAAAAAAAAAAAGGAATATGTAGCCTATTCTCTGAGAGTCAAATGTTGTTTTTGTCCCTTTACTTGCTGCGGAATTCCAAAAAATAAAAATAAATACATTAAGAATGGTTTGATTTTTCTGATTTAGAGGAAACTATCTCCATAAATAGTTTAACCACATGGTCCAAACTTTTGTTTTCTTACTGTGTGTGTTTAACACATCACTGGAGATTTATCTTGTGGATTTTTTGTTTGTTATTTGGTCTTATTTAAACTATAATACTTTGTTTGTAGACTGAACTACAAAAGAGTATTTTGGTCTTTAAGGTTTCGGTTTTCGGAGTCATTCAGCGCCTCCTGAAGGAAGAATTGAGTGTTTGCTGCTCAATGCGACACTCGCATGCGCCGTACGGCAGATGTTTACTACAGTTCTGAACACGTTTGCGGCGGCAACACGGCAGTGGACAGGGTGAGGATCTTTTGTAAACAAATGCGAAATTCATTTATGTCTGTTTAATATTTAATGTTTAGGTATAATTATAACAATGAGTAATTATTATTACAAGCCCATGACTACATTTTTATTGCACTACAGTGCCGATAATATCGTGTAATTTTTCCGAGCAAAGTTTATTTTCAATGAAGGTCGGATTTACCTCAATCACTTTGGTAATCAATTTATGTTCTGTTGTTCTAATTAAGTAGATTATAAAATAACATATATTTATTATATTTAAACCTAATTCGAACATGTTTCCTGTTATTCCATGCTATTTTTCGTTTGGAATAATACACTATGTTATTGTTATTGTTTAATATTTCTTCGACTGTATATTAAATAAAGATGCTGTCAGAACTGCATTATTTTAGTTTTATTCATTTTCATTAAATTGTTATAGAGCATAATAACAATAATAACTTAGAGCATAAGACTATTTTATTCATCAGTCGAACATAAAGATCACTTGTTATTTATATCAATTTCTATTAATTTCTCTAATATGCTGACATTTTTTTTTACATGGTTACAGTTTCACAGGAATCTCAGAATGAGTTATAATGAAGAAAGATTATAATTTTTGTATGATTGTTTTTTTTTAAATCAGTAATTTATGTTTCTTCTCTTGTTTCAGAGTGATCACAGCCCTTTCATAAAATGAATTCTCATCATCAAGGCTAGAAGTGCATCTGAACACGCTCCAGGTGAATCTGTGTGCCGTACTAGAGTAAAGATGGAGTTTATTAAAGAGGAGATTGAAGACATGAGTGATCCAGAACCATCCAGAATAAAACATGAAGATACTGAGGAACAAACAGGTTGGTGTCCATTCTTGATTCTTCATTGTTGATGCTTTGGTAGATGTGAATTAATAAGCAGTATATGGATGATAAATGATATACATCCAAATGATCATAACCTTGTATATAGCAGTTGTCAAACATATTTTTACTATATTAACAATGAATGAACGAATAACAAGTGAAAGATCTGATCTGTTGTTTTCTGCTATTAAATAAGGGTTCACTTGAACTGATACTAACTGTATTTCCGTGTATTTTAGACCAGGTGAGAGTGAAAGAGAAAAGACTGAATGAAGTGGAGGAGGAACATCGTAACTTTACAATTCAAAGAACAAAAGCCAAAAAGATGCACACCTGCACTCAGTGTGGAAAGAGTTTCACAAAGAAAGGAAACCTTAACATACACATGAGAAGTCACACTGGAGAAAAACCGTTTACATGCACTCAGTGTGGAAAGAGTTTCACAGATAAAGGACACCTTAACTCACACATGAGAATTCACACTGGAGAAAAACCGTTTACATGCACTCAGTGTGGAAAGGGTTTCACAAAGAAAGGAAACCTTAACATACACATGAGAATTCACACTGGAGAGAAACCGTATCCATGCACTCAGTGTGGAAAGAGTTTCACTGAAACATCAGGTCTCAGTGTTCATCTGCGCATTCACTCTGGAGAAAAGCCATTTAAATGTGATCAGTGTGGTAAAGATTTTATTTCATCATCAGATCTAAAATCACACCTGACAGTTCATTCAGATGAGAGGCCTTATGTGTGTTCTCTCTGTGGAAAGAGTTTTTCACGTCGGAAGTGTCTTAATCTACACCAGAAAACACACAATGAAGTGAGAGATTATATGTGCTTTGACTGTGGGAAGAGCTTTACTACATCTGAGAATCTGAAACAGCATCGAAGAATTCACACTGGAGAAAAACCTTTCAAGTGCTCATACTGTGACAAGAGTTTCAGTCATTCTGGATCTCTGAAATCACACGAGCGAGTTCACACTGGAGAGAAGCCGTACGACTGTACTCAGTGTGAGAAGAGTTTCACTCGGTCTGCAAACCTGAAATTACACGAGCGAGTTCACACTGAAGAGAAGCCGTACGACTAGGCTTGCCAACCGTTCCGTATTTGACACATTAAAGTCTTGTTCAGGATTGAACTGATACTGAACGCACTTTGTTCCGTATTTTTGAGAATCAATTCAGTGCAAATCCATGACAAACACATAGCTTCTAATATATATATATATATATGTCAGACAGACTATGAATGAATGAAAACCTGCCATAATGGAAAATTCTGGGATTTGGCGCCCCCTTGCCCGGCTCTGACGTGCAATGACGTAGAGTTGTCTCGTTGGTCGCACATCAGAGGCGCCCGCGTCGTTGGATGTGCAGTTACCTCAGCACCAACATGACATCATGACTTTTGCGTAAACATATACACCACTTTCGAGTCAGGTGGCGTGTTATCTCCACGCATTTTGTGCTATCCGCGTGTATGCGTATATGTCTACGCCATTAACGTCCGCGTCATTCCGCGTGAACACGCAGTCAAATCTCCAGTCATAAATGCTATTAACCCCAGTGACGGTTAAGTTTAGGGATGGGGTTGAGGTAAGTCATATCTTTTTTTTACCTAGGATGGTAAGGGAACAGTCATAAATGCCATTAACCCCAGTGATGGTTAGGTTTAGGGATGGGGTTGAGGAAAGTCATATATTTATATAACGTTAAGTCAACGGCATTCATAAACACGCTGAAAGGCGATTATGCGTCTTGATAGCACGCCAAAAATGGAAATACGAATTGGCGTGTCATACACACGCTACTTCATGAGATCAGTCTGGCAGCACAGCCTATGAGCGAGCCAGACGGCATATATATATGCAGCATAGATATGTACACGGCTGTGCAGCTACAAATGCATTTTACATATCCACAAGTTTCATACGCCCCATGAGGCCTTGCGTCAAAAGTGGGCGCGACTTCCGGTTCGAAGTAAACAAAGCGCGATTTGACATGCTTGAGTTCATTCAACAGTTGACAGTCACTCAAGTTATAGCGATCCAAACTAGCTAACGATGTGGGAACACAACCTCAACGAAATTCAAAAGGGTGAAATAACAGTGCCTTTACCCTCCGCAGTGTATTATAATAACATTATTAATAATCAATACTCATCAAGGCATGGTGACAGACAGTTGTGCGAGCTGACAAACAATTAAAATAAAAAATACACACTTAGTCATTGTGCTTTGGAGTTTATTCAAAATTATAAATGAATGTGCTACTTTGAATACATTAACTGGCACATTTGGTTTTCTGTCAACACAGGCTTTGATCCTGAGTTTATTTGTATCATCAGTAGCGAACAGCCAATCACATGCTGAGAGAGTTTATAGAACATTAAGAATTTAAACAAATGTACACAGGAAGATTCGTCGTCTTTTGGGAGGTGATGGAAACTACAGTCGTTGGTAGGATCACTCTGATTTCGTTTTCAGCTTATGTTCAAAACAATCACGTTTAAGCCACTGAATTAGTTTAGTCCGGTTATACAACCGCGAACAGCACATGTTGTCCCTGAGCTCCGTAACGACATCTCTCATAAAGATTTGCGTCTTTAAATAGTAAAATAATTATCCGAAAAACAGCTAGCCTCTTCGCTAACTAACACACAAAATACCATTGGAATGCTACTTCCGCCGCGTCACCGGACGTTTCACCCACTTTATTTTTTACAGGAGCGCCCCTCGGAAACTTGTGGATAGGCTTCAGTAAATCGAGGAAAAGGAGTTTCCGAAGACATTTGTAGGCTATGATAAGAATTTTTTTTTTGTACTTGAAAGAACATTCTAGAAGTCGAATTCTATTGAATGAGTTCGCACAAGGCTACAATAAACTGTTATGTTTATTTTTCTACAAATTAAGTCTAAGCCGATGAGTTTTGAATGTTATACGTTTTATTTGTTGAAATTAAAAATAAAACGTATTATAAACTAAACAAATCCATGGTCCATTGTTGGCAAAATGATCATGTCATGGCCTTTATCTAGCCTATGTGGTACAGTCATTGATTAGGCATACTTTCCATAATGCATAATGTATGAATTTCAGGGGTCATTTCTTCTGTGGTGGCATAATCAGAAAGTTGGCAACCCTACGTACGACTGTACTCAGTGTGGGAAGAGTTTCTCCCACTCAAGTAATCTAGTGACTCATATTAGAAAGGATTGTTCTGTGTAAATGTGTAGTTAGTTAACTAAACTAGTGTTGTTGTGAAATGCTACAGGATTTGTGTTTTATATGTTGGAGAACAAGAATATTATTGATGTAGCATCCTGCTAAATTTATATATTGTTTCTTTTGTGTTCTACTAACAGAAATATAGTAGCTAAATCCTGAAATATGGGCCAAGTCAATCGTCCCTGCTACTACTTTTTATTATTATTATTTAATAATAATAAATTGTGAGGTGTTGAAATACCCTCTGTTGTGAGTAGCCCTTGAATATGGTCATTTTCTTTTGTATTTGGTGGCCAGGAGTCAGCTTTGTTATCCAATCAGAGAGAAGTTTGGCAACCTATCAGACTTTCTGAAGAACGATTTTGAGGCAGTTTATGAGGGGTATGGGCGGCGCCATCTTGGAAAATCTTAAGTTAAAAGTGCTCATATTGTGACGAGTTTCACTCGGTCTGGAAACCTGAAATCACACGAGAGAGTTCACACTGGAGAGAAGATGTACGACTGTACTCAGTGTGAGAAGAGTTTCACCCAATCAAGTTATCTAGTGACTCATATAGAGGGTTTTCACGGCGCGTCATCAATCCGGAAGTCGGCCATTTTGGACGCACTGAACATGCCGCGTTCCAGGCAACCTGTAACTCGTGTTTTTCCAACCTTATACCCGTGAAAGTGCACTGGAACGGCAGTCAAACCCTTGACTTCCCACCCGTGAACTCGTAGACCGATGTACTCCCAGTTACGAGTTCTGACGTTACATAGCCCGCGAACATATACAAAACTACAATGACAGCCCCTACGGATGCAGTGTTACTGCAGGCGGTACTCGGTGACAGGGGCGCAACTACCCAGTTTCAGAGGGGTATGCAGCAACAATTTTATTGCCCCCCCCACCCCCCCAAAAAAGGTAAAATAAATGTAATGTAAGTGTGCTGTGTAATAAGTGCAACTGTGTATCACACGAAATACGTTCTGAGGAAACTATTTTGCAAATCGTAATTACGTTACATGCCAACAAATAAGCAGTGCTATTACGTTTGTCCTTAACGTAATACTATTGCAGTGCTATTACGTTTTTCCTGAACATAATACATCCAAGCAGGTTTCTTTACTATAAATGCATAATCGTGGCATTAAAATTTTGACTCTTTTGCATTCAACTGTCATATCAATTAAGTTTTCCTTCACATTTATTAATATAATAGACCAACGTTACTCATAAATATATAAAAATCATTTTCTCCAATAAAACACAACATACTGATACATTCACAAAAGACATACAGTACATTTTATTAGCTTGATGTAAACCAAATCCTAGAATCCATACGTTGTTTGCAAGAAACAGATCCAAATCCAGCCTTTTATCCAGTGATCCTTATCTTCATTTCTCAGCAGCGACCGCAAACGTCAAATCCGCGCTGGTGATTAATTTAAATTCAAATAATGCGCCTTCAAGAAGCGTTACGACATGTTTTACGGCAGTGATATCAAACGCTCATTGGCTCTCGCCTGCTTCGTCACAGATTGCGACATGCCGTGTTTCAGTCGGTGTAGTACATTCACATTTGAAATGGAGAAGAGCGCGCGCCTTCAGACAGAGAGCGAACCGAAATCAGATTAACATTTTGGATTAACGTTAATAACTTTAATTCTGATCTGTACCTCATACACAACTACTATAATACTGCCAGAGGACTGCGACTGCAACGCATCATCATGTGAACGACTTTTGGTAATGTTAATAATAAATAAATAAATTATTGTGAAATGTATCTGTCTGTTATGTTTTTTTTTCTTAATTGTGTTACCTACGTAGTTTTAAGGAATGGTTATGATTAGGTTTAGGGATAGGAGTGGGATTAGTGGCTCAAAATATATTTTAATGCTAAAACTCATTTAACTACACATCTCTGTCCATTACGTTTTATCCTTTTTATATTCTGTATAAAATAAATATGTTTTTTGGAGTAGGATTAAGGGGTCTTGTTACATTTATCTTTAAAAGTGAAAGTATAGGCTACAGATATCGTTATGATATGAAACATATGTAAATAGTTAACGTTTTGTAGCTGTAAAAACGTACGGTTACGTTTAAATGTTGCAAATACGTCCATATTGTTACAATATGTTATATATGGTCATAAGGAAGTGACAGACTATGTATGGTTGAACCCTGAGTCCTGTGTATGTGACGTCATTGAGATGCGCAAGCACGTGAAGTAAAGAGAAGCACTGAGAAGCATGCGGTTGTGAGATTCATTTATTTTATAGAAATAGAGTGAGTGTCATACAGAGCCAAGCATAACATGGTGGCAGCGGTAAAGCACGAGATAAAAGTGTAAGATTAAAGTTTGTTTTCGAGAAAGCGACAGTGAAAAACGAGTGCCGATCATGGAGGGTGCGTTTGGATTGAAACCTCCAGCAAACTTTGACTGGAATGCGACGTGCATACCCAAAGCTTGGAAAGCGTGGGAAGAGGAGTTTTCCCTGTACATGGATTTGTCGCTTACAGATGCGGACAACAAAACGAAGGTAAAAGTTTTCCAATATCTAATCGGAGAAACAGGACGAGAGCTGTGTAAAACGCTGAGCGCAGCCCTGCCGGCTGACGGCGAGTTGACGATTGAATGGCTGTTAACCGCGTTCAGAAATCATTGCAATCCGGCACCGAATGAAACTGTGGAAAGATACAAATTTTTCTCCAGAAATCAGAACTCAAGTGAAACGTTTGACAAGTATGTTACTGACTTGAAAGTGCTGACTGACACATGCAATTTTGGAACGGCTAGAGACTCTCTGATTAGAGACCGAATAGTATGCGGTATAATGAACTCGCACGTGAGAGAACGCCTGTT